CAATACTGTTTATGTTACAAGAATTACAAATGAAAAGTAATATTTCATATTCAACAATTTCTTAATTTTGACTGTTCCGACGTGTATGTTTTGATATTATCTGTGTGTACACGCATACCATTGACGATCCACATTTCCAATTGCACTGAGTTATTTCGCATGTTGTACGTTAACAAATTAATAAATAAGCTACTGTACTGTACAGGAATCACTGTATCATTGAAGCAGTATGTCAGATACAGTTTCCAACACAAGGTAGTACCTTTGTGTTGTTCTGTGAAGCCATACACGTCGTCATATGAGCGAAATATTCTCAAGCACGACGTTAAACCCAATTTCACCTCACCTGTGAAGCCATATCACATAAAAATGATAGAACTCTGGATCATTCGCAGATTGTTGCGAATCGGCATTTTTGACAATATTTTCAGTCATCACTCGATCCTGAACTGGGTCGCCAGTGTTATGCCCTTGGTGGTAAAAAACGATGCTTTTTCATTGCTTCTGTATTCTCAAATCATCTCCTATACAATATCACGTCATACTGTAGTTAGATAACTTGTTCCATGGCATTACTTCTAATGTTTAAAGTGCCTAGTGACTACATATGATGATGATTATGAGTTTAACGTCGGCTTCTGGCTGTAGCCAATGTCGCCGACGGGGTAGGTGGGAGCTAAAGTAATAATTAATATGTTTATAATAAGGGATAAACCACCATACCCCAAAAATGTAAATCATGGAGTGTTAAGTTAAGTGAATTTTGAATGAAAACGGCCACAAACATGATAATAAATAAAAAGCCGTGATTATGAAGGGAAAAGAAAAAATAATGTAGTTTGATTTAATTAGATGAGAAGAGATGAGAAACAGAACTAAACTGATAGATATAAAGGGGTTGGTTTGGGGTGGGGGGAGCGAATTGTATAGAATAGTGGGAGCTTGTTTTGGAAACAGTTAAGCTGTTTATAATTAAATAATGGGTAAAGAAAGAAAAAGGGGTTAAAGGGGTGTGGGGGTGGTATGGGGGCATTGCAGGGGGCAAGGCAGGCTGAGCGTGTGTAGTAATTGAGAGGCAGTAGTAAGCTTGGTTGAGTGGCCTTGACTGAGGAGCTGTGGGCGGCCTTGACCGTGGAGTTTGTTATGGTTGGTGCTTGAGATGTGCGTGTGTGTGTGTGTGTGTGTGTGGGTGGGGGGGGGGGGGGAGGCGCGCGGACCTCGGAGGAGACTGTAGTTGTTGACGTGTATAGCATATGGGGCATATGATGTGAGTGCAGATAAGCTGCTTGTCTTAAATAAGGCGGCTTATTAAGGAAAGAAAAAGGGGTTAAGTTGGTTGTGGGGTGGGGGTGGGGGAGGGGGTTGTAGGTGGCAATGTGTGAGTATGTGGGTTATGTCCTCTTGTGTATTGCAGTGTGTGCATAGGCCATCTGGGTGTCTGTTTTGCTTATATAGAGTGTAGTTTAGATTTGTAGTGCCTGAAATTAGCCTCTTTATGGCCGTGTCAATGCTTTTAATATTTGAGTATGTGGGAATCTTTCTTATTGGTGATTTTATGATAGATGTGACCCAAGTGGATTTGTTTGTGTTTATGTTGTGGTGGAAGTTGGTGGATAACATGTTTGTTTTAATGAGTTGTTTGATTTTTGTTTTGGATGTATGGAAGTTGATGTTTGGTGATAAGTGGGTTGTGGCGAGTTTGGCTGCAGTGTCTGCAGTGTCATTTCCTGTGATGTTTGAGTGGCAAGGTATCCATAAGAATGTAATATGTTTATTTGAGCGTGTGAGTGAATCGGTTTGTATTGCTATATTGTGGAGGAGGTAGGGTCGAAATTTGGAGTGCATATTGTGTAGTTGTTTGATGGAGTTGAGTGAATCGGTGAGGATAAGGAAATTATTTTGGGGGGAGGGAGGGAATTAAATGAAGTGCAGTGAGGATGGCTGTTAGTTCTGCAGTGTTTATTGTGGTGTGGTTGGTGTAGTGGAGATTTGTGGTAATGGGGGGGGGGATTTGTTGGACATGTATGCCGAGGCCTGTGGCTTTATTTGGGTTGATTGATGCGTCTGTGTGTATGTGGTAATGGGTGGGGTAGTTTGTGTTTTTAATGTAGTTGTTTGTGATGTTTGTGATGTTAGTTTTGTTGGTGTCTTTAGGTAGCTGTTTGAGGGTGGTGTCGAGGGTGGTGTCTGTGGTGGGAGGAGGTATGTCGTGAATGTAGCTTGTAATGGGAGGTGTGTGTTGTATGTTGTTTAGTTGTTGTGTTAATAGTAGATTGTTGAGGTGTGTAAGGCAGGGGGCAATAGATGGTTTAAGTTTGAACTTTTTTTAGAGTGGACTTGTTTATGTTGTTATACTTGTGTGTGATGTGTTTGGTCGGTGGTGGCTGGAGGTGCGCGGACCTCGGAGGAGACAGTAGTTGTTGGGAGGTAGAGATGGTGTGACATAATAAAGGAATAGAGAGGCGCGCGGACCTCTGAGAAGACAGGTGGTTGGAGAGAGAGGTGAAGTTATAGATATCTTGATAGTGAGCAGAAAGTGGATCGAGATTGCTAGGTTGATAGGTGGGCGCGGACGTCGGAGAGGACATTCACGCACATATAGTGAATTTGAAGTGACTACATACCTATCCGTGAAACAATTAAGTAATGAAACAATAGGCGAGAGCTTTCAATACAACTGATAGCTCATGACAGGTAATTAATGACAGATGGTCGGATTGGGGTGTGCTGATAGTTATAGCCCGGGAAAACCATTTTTAAGAAAACAAGAGTTGAAAATGGTTTGGCTCAACCAGCAATGGGTATGGTTGAGTGATCGTGTGAATGTGGGTCTCCCGGCAATGCACTATGTTACCGTAAATAATGCAGTTTTTTTTACCATCGCTCTAAATTAGTCGAATTAAGTCAAAATGAGTTGAAATTTGTGTCATGATTCCATTGTCCATTTTGTCATCCTTGGCATATATTCATAACAACTGCATGTTAAATTGGGCGAATCCCTTGTCAGAAAGTGCCCACAGTGCGGAGAGTTTCTTGACTTTTGTGAGTCCAGATTTAAACTGTGACGTGTTTATTACATTTGACTATTGAATACTGTCCATTTCATATGAAAACCAGTTTCACTTTAAGCATAGCGGGTGCTGTAACCAATACGACAGCATTGGTACAACTTAGCTGAGAATGATTTTGTTGATTTTGGTTCTGCAATACGTATCAGACGTTCTATTCTCTCTTCAAACTGCTCACCGAGTAAAGCTGCAAAATTGCTGATGAGGCGTTAAGCAGTTTTACTCTCCCTTTACCTGTATCTCTCTGTGTGTCTCTATCCGTGTCTCGTCTCTGAGTGTCCCTCTCTCTCTCTCTCTCTCTCTCTCTCTCTCTCTCTCTCTCTCTCTCTCTCTCTCTCTCTCTCTCTCTCTCTCTCTCTCTCTCTCTCTCCCTTCTCTCTGTGTCTCTTCTCTCTGTGTTTCACTATGTCTCTCTGTGTTTCTCCTCCGTGTCTTTTTCTGTGTCTCGTCTCTGAGTAGCTCTCTCTGTGTCTCTCTCTCTATATATGTCTCTATCCGTGTCTCTTCTCTCTGTGTGTCACTCTGTGTGTCTTCCTCTCCGTGTCTTTTTCTGTGTCTCGTCTCTGAGTAGCTCTCTCTGTGGCTCTCTCTCTATATATGTCTCTATCCGTGTCTCTTCTCACTGTGTCTCTCTGTGTGTCTCCCTCTCCGTGTCTTGTTCTGTGTCTCGTCTCTGAGTGTCTCTTTCTGTCTCTTCTCTCTGTGTCTCACTATGTCCGTGTGTGTGCCTGTGTGTCACTCTCTCTCTCTGTCTCTCTCTCTGCCTCTCTCTATCTCTCTCTATGTGTCTCTCCTCTGTGTGTCTCTGTCTTTCTCCACGTGTCTCTTTCTATGTCTCTCTCTTCTCTCTGTGTTTCACTGTGAATGTATCTCTCTGTGTGTGTGTCTCCGTCTGTCTCTCTCCTGTGTGGCTCTCTTTCTCTGTCTGTTCTCTTTGCGTCTTTCTCTGGGTCTCTTTCTCTGTCTTCGCTGTGTCTCTCTCTGTCTCTGTCTGTGTGTCTGTCTCTGTGTGTGTATCTCTCTCTCTCTCTCTCTCTCTCTCTCTCTCTCTCTCTCTCTCTCTCTCTCTCTCTCTCTCTCTCTCTCTCTCTCTCTCTCTCTCTCTCTCTCTCTCTCTCTCTCTCTCTCTCTCTCTCTCTGTCTCTCTCTCTCTCTCTGTCTCTCTCTCTCTCTCTGTTCTCTCTGTGTTTCTCTCTGTGTCTTGTCTCTCTGTGTTTCTCTCTGTCTTTCTCTCTGTGTCTCTCTCTCTCTCTGTCTCTATCCGTGTCTCTTCTCTCTGTGTGTCACTCTGTGTCTTCCTCCGTGTCTTTTTCTGTGTCTCGTCTCTGAGTAGCTCTCTCTGTGGCTCTCTCTGTATATATGTCTCTATCCGTGTCTCTTCTCACTGTGTCTCTCTGTGTGTCTCCCTCTCCGTGTCTTGTTCTGTGTCTCGTCTCTGAGTGTCTCTTTCTGTCTCTTCTCTCTGTGTCTCACTATGTCCGTGTGTGTGCCTGTGTGTCACTCTCTCTCTCTCTGTCTCTCTCTCTGCCTCTCTCTATCTCTCTCTATGTGTCTCTCCTCTGTGTGTCTCTGTCTTTCTCCACGTGTCTCTTTCTATGTCTCTCTCTTCTCTCCGTGTTTCACTGTGAATGTATCTCTCTGTGTGTGTGTCTCCGTCTGTCTCTCTCCTGTGTGGCTCTCTTTCTCTGTCTGTTCTCTTTGCGTCTTTCTCTGGGTCTCTTTCTCTGTCTTCGCTGTGTCTCTCTCTGTCTCTGTCTGTGTGTCTTTCTCTGTGTGTGTATCTCTCTCTCTCTCTCTCTCTCTCTCTCTCTCTCTCTCTCTCTCTCTCTCTCTCTCTCTCTCTCTCTCTCTCTCTTCACGTCACGCGTCACCCTAAACCTCACGTGCACTTTATATCGTGAATAAACCACGTGTCCTTGTTATCTTCCCCAGGATGTGGTGGGAACTTCACGGGCATCACCGGCGCCTTCACGTCCCCCAACTACCCACAGAGATACAGCAACAAACTTCACTGCACTTACATCGTCGATGCAGGAGCAACGTTGATCACGCTCGTGTTTGAAGAGTTCAACATACAGAACTATAATGATTATGTCCACGTATGTATGTTGTTGTACAATCCGTGGAAATATCTGAATGTGCAAGCTGGAGGTTTTACTTACACGTTAGTGAGTGAGTGATTTTAGCTCTACGCCGCACTCAGCAATATTCCAGCTATATGGCGGTGGTCTGTTAATAATCCAGTCTGGACCAGACAATCCAGAATAACTCGGGAACAACAGCATGAACATCGATCTACGCAATTGGGATACGGTGACATGTGTCAAGCCAGTCAGCGAGCCAGACCACCCGATCCCGTTAGTCGCCTCTTGCGACAAGCATGGGTTGCTGAAGATCAATTCTAACTCTGATCTTCACGGGTCTTACACGTTAGTATAGATAGCATCGACTTTGATGCTGTACTTCAAAATGACGAATGTTCAAGAAGTTTACCATTGTCGGCGCTCTCATACAACAATTGAAGTATATATTTCTACTTAATTAGATATACACCAAGTGAGCCGTTGACCGTTGGGCAGATACGTGTTTATATATATGTATATATATATATGGTAAGTAGAAATGTTCACTATATGTAGGTGATGAACAGCTGGGCCAAATATTTATGTCATTGTGACTGAAAATCCACTTCAGACCTTAGTGTGCATGACCAGAAATGGACTCAGGCTTCAGAAAATACTGAAGGTTCTGTTCTATGTTGTAACCATATTAGAAGACATCTCTTTTTGAACCACAGGTCTACGATTCTGCTGGAAATCGTTTGAGCCGTCTACAAGGAAACAGACGAGGTTACATCGTCCAGTCCGCTGTCCTCTATCGTGTTGAGTTTCGTACGAATCACCGGGGCACAAGAAAAGGATTTAAGGCTGTATGGGCAAGTATGTTCCGTCTCCAATTATGTAATTTTTATATTTTTCTTTGAAGTTTTGTGTTGTTTAATGGGGGTCGGTGGAAATAGGTTATAAGACGAGTTGGGAACCGACTGAGTCGTGACTATGTCGACTTGTGCTTACAAACAGTATATCACGTTTAATATAAAGTCTGAAAAATTATACTGACAAAATCCACGATGCACATCTTCACTGTGTGAAACTCAGGGTTAACAAATCAGCTCAACTGATTTTATTTGATAGTCACAAGGTATTCGAGCATAGGAAGACGTTAAACGTATTAGGTTAATAGGCGACAAAGTTAAGAGTATATCTCAGTGAATGTATCTTTCATTGAATCTTTGTGTTTCAGAGACCATAACGGAACACGCCAGGTACGGAGGTTATGCCACTCTGTCCTGGAATCTGCCACAGCCTGGAATCAGGGAGTTCACTGTGTGGAACAACAGTTCGGGAGAATACATACTTCACATCACTAACTACAACAACGTCAGTGCCGCCAGTGAGAAGTTGGCGTCCAGGATAGACTTCATCGGGAGTATAACACCATCAGGTACAGGACTGTTTAGGTTTGTCATTCGCGATATTATTTGGGAAGATGCAGGTCGTTACGAGTGTTACAGAGGCTCCATGAGTGGAAGAGGAGCTAGGATCCCTCACTGTGGGCAGGAGCTGACTGTACTGGGTAAGCATACTTCAATACACCTGCAACTTTTGCGAAAATGTGAAGAAAGAATGCATATTAAGTATTTTAATGATACATGTTTTAGAAATCGTGTAATTTTGTGAAAAAAGTACAGTGCTGCCGCATAGTGGATTCGAACTAAGTACGAGGATTACAGAGTTCCTGCTGCGGTATTGACCGTTGGCTGCTAAACGCCGCACTCAGCAATATTCCAGCTACATGGCGGCGGTCTGTAAGTAATCGAGAACCGACAAGATATCCCAGTGATCAACATCATGAGCATCAATCTACGCAATTGGGAGACGATGACAACCAAGTCAGCTAGCCTGACCACCCGATCCCATAAGTCGCCTCTTACGACAAGCATGGGTTGATGAAGATCAGTTCTAATCCGGATCTTCACCGGTGTCATCATACATTGATTAACCAAACAAACCATTCCAGCAGGTAAAACACACATGTGTAGAACATGAACAACTGTTTTGGCGTCACCGAGGAGAGAGTAACTACATAAGATATTGATGATTTAACACAGGACAGTTCAGGTGAGGTGAGGTGAGGTGAAATTGGGTTTAACGTCGTGCTTGAGAATATTTCGCTCATATGACGACGTGCATGCGTGTGTATGTGTATGTGCGGCTGCTTGTACTAGCCCAGACTTAAGCTGGTTTTATAGTGTTAGCCCACTGAGATACCATGCCGCAGTGAAGCATGAATACCCCACTCAGACACATTATACTGACTCCGAGCCGACCAGTCCTTGTTGTACCCATTAATGCCGAGCGCCAGACAGGGACCAACAAGTACCATATTTTAACGTCTTTTGGTATGACGCGGTCGGGGATCGAACCTGCGACCTTTCGCTCTCCGGGTGGACGCTCTAACCACTACACCACGGAGGCGGTCTCACAGTTCAGTGATGACATATATGGTATATGGTTCTTCTCAAGGATGTGGTGGACACTTTAACACAGTCACAGGTTCCATGACCTCACCCAAATACCGGGACAGCAGAAAGGTGCGACTTTCATGCATATACACTATCAACGCTGGGTCAACCTCCATCACACTTGTGCTTGAGGAGATGAGCACGAGGGGCTATCTCAGGGTAAGTTCCTCCACCTACGCGCTTTATCTGAACAGTGTAGGTGGACGAGTAATGCTGTCAAGTGGTGCGGCCAGGGTTCAGGTCCAGGAACTAGACTGCCAGTTGTCAGATTTCCATCCATTTGGAAGAGGGATTACTGAGTAAGTGAGTATAGTTTTACACCGCTTTTAGCAATATTCCAGCAATATGTCGGCAGGGGCCACCGGAAATGGGCTTCACACATTGTACCCATGTTGGGAATCGAACCCGGGCCTCGGCGTTAGTAGTGAAGGCTTTAACCACTAGGCTACCCCGACGCTCCGTGATCACTGAGCGGGTTTGATAACTGACTCTGTGTGTTGGCGATTAGGTTCCTGACTCTGGGAACGTGGGTTCGACTCCCCTGTTGTACTCAACCCAACTAAAGTCCTGGAATATGTAATTTACTAAGAAAGTGTAATCCCAACTATAACACGATCATTTTATCATTTTCTAATTGGCATTGTTTTTAGAATGGTGATAATTATTGTCAAACGTCACATTTATCGAGTTTATAGTTTTTCTCCTTTCGTCTGCGGATACAAGTGATCTGATTGTGGAAATATTTACTGTTGACGCTGAAACCTGGTGCCTAACAACGGAGCGATTACAGGCGAGTCATCTACAGATACAGTTAGAGGCCCAGTAACGAGATTCGTTCGCTTGTAATTCCAGGTTGTTGATGCCTCTGACAATACGCTTGAATTACTGTATGGGAACAACACTGGATATATCATGCAGTCCGCTACGTACTACCGTATTCTCTACAACGAATACGAACCGAGCAAAGGATTCAGAGCAACATGGTCAGGTCAGTTGCAAGCACAACTCATGTTATTAAGAATGACGTGTGTGTTCATGGGCAGTGTTAAACCCATGTTTTTGAAGCACTGAACTGCCATTAAGGTACTAAGTGATACTTCTTTCAACCATAAACTACGCGCCATGTGAGCAGATTATCATGGGCATCTATCTACGCACTAAGGAAACGATGACATGTGTCAACCAAGTCAGCGAGTCTGGCCACCTGATCCCGTTAGTTGCCTCTTACGGCAAGCAAGACGACAAATTCGAACCCTGGTCTTCAAGGGTACGTCAAGTTCTTGTTTGAAGGTCACACATAATCGTCTCTGACGACATACATGACAGGTGATGTCATCTTCAATTATTGACTTGTATTATACATGTTCGTGTTCAAATGGAAACGTTTTCTTGACATAGCTGAGAAAATTAATTATGTTGTACGGAATGTAGTAGAGAGTGATAGAAAATAGCTACGTTGGCTGAAAATTGTGTCATCAATATCACTAACCTTTGAGAGGCAGAGGTGGTATGACAGCTTGACAGTGATGAGCTGATGAGGTGGTCCGAAAGCTGGACAGTGATGAGCTGATGAGGTGGTCCGAGAGCTGGACAGTGATGATCTGGTAAGGTGGTCCGAGAGCTGGACAGTGATGATCTGGTGAGGTGGTCAGAGCGTTGGACAGTGATGATCTGGTGAGGTGGTCAGTGATGATCTGGTGAGGTGGTCAGAGCGTTGGACAGTGATGATCTGGTGAGGTGGTCAGAGCGTTGGACAGTGATGATCTGGTGAGGTGGTCAGAGCGTTGGACAGTGATGATCTGGTGAGGTGGTCAGAGCGTTGGACAGTGATGATCTGGTGAGGTGGTCAGAGCGTTGAACAGTGATGATCTGGTGAGGTGGTCAGAGCGTTGGACAGTGATGATCTGGTGGGTGAGCGTGGTCAGAGCGTTGGACAGTGATGATCTGGTGAGGTGGTCAGAGCGTTGGACAGTGATGATCTGGTGAGGTGGTCAGAGCGTTGGATCTGGTGACAGTGATGATGATCTGGTGAGGTGGTCAGACCGCTGGACATTGATGATCTGGTGAGGTGGTCAGACAGGTGGAGAGTGATGATCTGGTATGGTGGTCAGACCAGACCTTGGACAGTGATGATCTGGTGAGGTGGTCAGACATGATCTGGTGGTCAGTGATGATCTGGTGAGGGTGATGATCTGGTGAGGTGGTCAGACCGCTGGACAGTGATGATCTGGTGAGGTGGTCAGACCGGTGGTCAGTGATGATCTGGTAGACCATGGTGATGATCTGTTGACCACTTGGACAGTGATGATCTGGTGAGATGGTCAGACAGTGATGATCTGGTCAGGTGAGACCGCTGATGGTCAGAGCGTTGGACTGGTGATGGTGGGTCAGACCACTGGACATCTGTGAGGTGAGTTGGACAGTGATGAGGTGAGGTGGTCAGACCGGTGAGGTGGTCAAATCGTTGGACAGTGGTCAGTGATGATGATCTGGTGATGGTGGTCAGACCGTTGGACAGTGATGATCTGGTGAGATTGTCAGACCGTTGGACAGTGATGATCTGGTGAGGTGATCTGGTGATGTGGTCAGACAGACCGCTGGACAGTGATGATCTGGTGAGGTGGTCAGACCACTGGACAATGATGATCTGGTGAGGTGGTCAGACCGCTGGACAGTGATGAGCTGGTGAGGTGGTCAGACCACTGGACAGTGATGATCTGATTGATGTTCGATGCAATTCCCCAATTTGACTTGTACCATAGTTCCCGAACTGATTCAGATGCTCCCTTGACTAACTCTTCTATATATTGATGACGCGTGCCACCGGTGTGGTGGGATACTCTCACCTCTTCGCAAACATCTGATGTCATCACTATTTGATTGTAATTCCTAGCCACATACTCCTTGCTAGGACGGAATTATGCAGTCAACTGCCTCTCCTTACCGCTAATATTGCATTGGTTGTTTTGATACAGTTTATTTTTGAGTCAATGTTTGATATGTAAATTGTACATTACACATGTATTGATGTCTGACATGTTTCAGTTACCACAAGAGAGCACGCCAGGTACGGAGGCTATGCCACTCTGTCCTGGAATCTGCCACAGCCTGGAATCAGAGAGTTCACCGTGTGGAACAATGATAGGGGGAAGTGTATACTTCACATCACTAACTACAACAATGTCAGCATTGCCAGTGAAGAGTTGTCATCTAAAGTGAAATTCACTGGCAATATCACATCCTCTGGAACAGGGCTGATGCGATTTATTATCACTGGTGTCAGATGGGAAGATGAAGGCCAGTATGTTTGTTACAGAGGTCCACGGGCTTTCAGAGGGACCAGGATATCCAAGTGTGGACAAGAGTTGGAACTGCTTGGTGAGAGTTATAGCATTGTTTGGTTTTGCTGACCAATGTAATAATAACGGCCATTTATAAAGCGCCTGTTTCCACTCACTTGTGCATGCATAAAGCACTAACACATTACCCTGGAGAACCCAAGTTGCCTGTGAGGTGATAGAAGGTTAACAGGCACAGGACCAATCCCACCGGGTACCCATTCACTGCTGGGTGATAATGGCAATATCTTGTGCGTTTAATGAACATACTACCAAACTGACTGAAAGTTTCACAGGTAGATTTGCTTAGTTCCTTGCCATCTAGTTATGTCTTTCTCCTCACACAAGCGAACTGACTTTTCCCATGCATTGTCCATGGCTTTCTGTAAGCTACAAGGCCGGGTATTTCCTCTTCCCAATCATCATCGTCATCATTGCTATCAACCCCATTTACAGATCAAAGGGGAGGTTGGTTAGCCTAGTGGTTAAAACGTTTCCTCGTCACGCTGAAGGTCCGGGTTCGATTCCCACATTGGTACAATGTGTGAAACCCGGGTTCGATTCTCCACATCTGTATAGACGCTGGTTAACTAAATTTAGAACTTCAAACCACAGGTTGCCCATTGAAACAGGACGTTGGTACGGCATCGAACGATGTAATAGAACCTGCCAACTTTGTACATCATCTGTCTGTGATGTCTGTCTTCACTTTCTATTATACTGCCCAGTACTCAATGCCCTCAGACATCAATTTCTTCCCCAATATTTCTGTAAGCATCCTACTCTTGAAAACTTAATTTATCTAATGAAATATGACTATTTACCACTTAACTCTAAAATTGCCAAATTTATCAAAACTGGACATTGCTCAATGTTTTAAAATGTGCCAAATTGCTGTATGTTCTCTGTGTCACTATATGTGATTTTTGAGAATAAAATTTCTGTTCTGTTCTGGTACAATGTGTGAAACCCATTTCTTGCGTCCACAGTTAGATATTTGCAAGCGACATCCCCCACGTGTGCCATGTTTTCCTGAATCCTGTCAATGACATTGTTTCGTTGGATTCAACATATTGACATGTTCGTGTTTCTTGGCGTTCATACTACTGAAGTTGTATGCAGGCTTTCTCCAAACAATTTTATTGCTACCTACATATTCTAGGTCGAGCTAAGGAATGACCCTTGGATAAATCACCCACAAAGGTGGCAGTTTCCCTTATAGAATATATGTCAAACTAGTTTAAGGATCGAGCCGCGCTATCTTGTCACCTTCACCATCATCATTATTATCATCGTCGTCGTCACCGACGTTATCATCAGCATCAGCATCAGCATCAGCATTATCATCAGCATCGGGGTTTGGGGGTAGCCTAGTGGTGAAAGCGTTTGCTCACCACGCCAAAGACCCGTGTTTGATTCCCCACATGGGTACAATGTGTGGAGCCAATTTCTGGTGTCTTCAACCGTGATATTGCTGGAATATTGCTAAACGCGGCGTAAAACTAAACTCACTCATCATCATCACCATTCAACATTTGGTGTGTTAATTCTGCTGCAGGTGGTTGCGGCGGTTACTACAGCGCGGTATCGGGTTCGTGCACCTGTTCCAATGTTTCGTGCGACTACAATGGAGAGTGTGTCTACATCATTGACGCCGGATCAGCTCTACTTACGTTGGTTCTTGACTATTTCACAACTCCAAGCTCTTTAGGACGTATCAAGGTAATCTAAATGAACTCGAAATGCACGTATGCGTATTTCATATGAGACGTATACAGGATTATGTTATCAATGTCTGAGTGAGAAAAGGCCGGCTCTTATACCAAGGTGTCCCTAAGGAGTACGGGCCAAGTATGAGGCAATGTGGATCGAGGTTCGCCACAATCACACGTCCAGATTTGCCAGCACCGTCCTCCTGAAACAGATTTCTCTCGAAACCATAAAGATCTGCATTGCATCACATCGGAGCTTTTCTTCCGACATCAAGATGGAACAGAAACACTGGTTAAAGAGTCGGTAGACATTTTATAGCCTCTACTTCTCTATCACTTGTGCTTTGCACACAGCAGTCACCATATATTCTTGTAGCCATCAGTTTCAGTATGTTTTTAGCAAAGAAGGTTTGGGGATAGATTTTGTGAAATTATTTGCTTTGTCTTCACTGAAAGAAATCATGTCCATTATCCTTAATTTCAAATACATTTAAGTGACGTCGTTCAGCTCAGGCGTATCAGCTATAGTCTTTAAATCCTAGGTATACGACGTATCCGGAAAGCTCCTGGCTGCGTTACAAGGAGACAAGATAGGATACACCCTACAGTCATCCACGTACTACCGGATCCAGGTCGATTGCTGTGATTATGAATCGCCGAACAAATTCAAAGCAACATGGTCAGGTGTGAAATAGTTGGGTATATGTGTGCGGCTTTGGGTGGGTGTAATGAAGGTGTGTGTACGAGATAGGGTGTGGATATGTATGTGGATGTGGAAGAGTATATGTGTATGGTTTGTGGTTGCAGGGACGCTTCAGGATGTGAATTGGGTATAGATGTGCTGGTGGATGTGGATTTAGGTGTGTATGAGTGTGGGTGTGGTTTAGGGTGAGGTATATCAAGATATGAGATCTGCGTGGTTTGAGAGTAGATTTGGCCATAACCCTTAAAGATAATCTCTGTCTCTATTAATGAGTTTGAATAAATAGTGTGTTTGAGTTTGTTTTTTTAAAATCTACGATGTCCAGTCTCCCATCATTTCTTGCTAATCCATATTTGTCCAGAATTCCTGACAACACATTGATGTTCTGTGTATCTATGTTTCAGAGACCATAACGGAACACGCCAGGTACGGAGGTTATGCCACTCTGTCCTGGAATCTGCCACAGCCTGGAATCAGAGAGTTCACTGTGTGGAACAACAGTTCGGCAGAATACATACTGCACATCACTAACTACACCAACGTCAGTGCCGCCAGTGAGAAGTTGGCGTCAAGGATAGACTTCATCGGGAGTATAACACCATCAGGTACAGCGCTGTTTAGGTTTGTCATCCAGGACGTCACTGGAGCTGATGCAGGTCGTTACGAGTGTTACAGAGGTTCCATGGTTGCAAGAGGAGCTAGGATCCCTCACTGTGGGCAGGAGCTGACTGTACTGGGTAGGAATACAGACGCAGTTTGTCGGGCTTTCTTATTTTCAAAATCTGTTAATTCTTGTTAGTATAAACTTGGTTGACGTGGTTTCCAGAACTAAATATAACACACTATGTATCGCACAAACCATTGACGACATTCTTATCAGAGTAAAAATGATTATATATAGATTATATATTTACTATTCTGAATGAAACTGTATTATGTCTTCAGCGCCACAAAGATGTAAACCAGAAACGTTTAGTGATAACATTTCTTTAAATATTGTGCAATGCCGGTCACTTGTTGACTAAAGAATGAAGTGTCAAGGGAAATCGGGAATGTATGGGTTAAATAACTCACGGTCACTGATCTACATAATATGTTCATTATAGAAATAAGTCACGTGTCTTGTGTTTATGTAAAACTAGAAAACATATTGTCTAAATGTCCCTTCATGTCGAACAATAAAATAGAAGCTCCATCCTCTTGTGTCTACGTTTCCTATCTAAAAGGGAATATAGCAAGCCTTCCTAAAGGTGTACCAGAGTCTTAAACAACACGAACTCAAACTTTGTGTAATCAGTGTTGCAGCGTTGAAGACTTTAGTAAAGGTGTGAACGGATTCCTAGGAAGCTAGGAGAAGCCCTTCATGGGAAATCAAGCAAATGCATTCTTGTCGTAACCGTTTCTTCCCAAGGCTGCGGTGGGCACTACAACACGCCTTCAGGATCCTTCACATCTCCCAACTACCCTGGGGAATACAACAACAGTCTGTCATGCATCTACACTATAGACGCTGGGTCTACATTAGTGACGCTGGTATTTGAAAACTTTCTGACCGAGAAATTTGAAGACTTTGTTCAGGTATGTGTCAGAGACCCGAAGAAATCAGTAACTACAGAACTCGATTTATGGTTGTCCGCAAACTTCAATTATACACTGTGGCTAGTGTTACTGTTAAATAATTACCGTGACAACAGGTTTAAGAATCCCCATTGAACCAGCAAAATATAACACAGACAAGTCTAAAATATTCAATAATATATTGAGCAAACAATGAGCTAGATTCAATGAATCACAATACAGATTTCTAGTACAATGCAATTGAGTCACAAATCTTAATTAATGGGTCACATATAAAGTATTAACTCACCAGAGTCGTGGTAACCACAGTGAGATCAGATATTCTAAATGGAGCTTGTTTACAAATGAAAGCAGTCAGGCACGAAGTGTCAGGGTCAGACGATGGCGATGTGACGAAGGACGAAGGCAAACTCCAGTGATATCGAAAGTCTCCGTGTAATTACGTGTGTTTGTCCGTTTGTCAGTCCTTGTGTCAGTCCTTGCCTTTATATATACTCATACAGATTCTCGAACTTTCCAGCAAAGCATGGCTGTATCATTAACCACTTAGATCTTTCTCGAAACATGTTGAACATTGGACATGACGATGTCAACACAAACATCCGATCAAGGGAGGTAACTCTGGAGCGCTATCATAAAGGCGTACCGCTAAAAATAGTATTGCCATTGAACATATATGACGCCAAATGTGACCCACAACCAACACTCAAAACTTTAAACATTGTGATTCGTAATTATTATCACCTAACCAATGTTATTACAAATTACAAAAAAACACTCCCGTAACACCAGATACATACATGTTGTCGACTACATGCAGTTAGATATCTGTAGTATGCTGCTACATCATGGGTACAGAGGTGGTTACTAGTAATACAATGTCAACGCATCCAAGAGCATGTAGGGACCGGAATGGAACATCTATCACAGGCATACCCAGATATTCGTAACTTATGTTGTTTGGTGTCTTGTAATCTTAGTGTCGTGTGACCTTTAATGCCATGTAATCTTAGTGTTGTGTAATGTTAGTGCCGTGTAATCTTAGTATCATGTAATCTTAATGTCATGTATTGTTCATAAGAACGGATAACCATAACTTATGCACGTCTTTACAACCTTGTGGATACAACATAATTGGGGAATGGTGTTTGCAAAGAGCAATTGCAGTGCGAATGTATGTATGTGTGCGTGCGTGCGTTAGTGTGCCTTGTGTATTTGTAAAGTGGCGTTTTCATGATTCTTGTGCCTTAAGGTCTACGATGCCTCCAAAAACCTTCTGGCGTATCTCCATAAAAACAGAACGGGGTATGTGCTCCAGTCGGCCATTTACTACTACGTCAATTTCACTACAAATGATTATGGTGCACGAAAGGGCTTCAGAGCAACATGGACAGGTAGGCAATACGTTCCTTGAAATGCTGAGAATGGGTGTGTTTGTGTGTTTTCGGGTTTTTCCCTATTTGTTTGTTGTTGTTTTTTGGTATTTATTTGTTTTCGTAATTTTGTTTTTTGTTTAGTTTGTTTTTGTTTTCGTGTGGAGAGTGGGGTGGGGGGTGAACAGGCAATCGGGTGATTGATATAGTGAGCAATGAACCAGGAAGTCAGGTACATACAATACACCACAGAACCTAACCATCTAATCCACCATCTGATCCACAAGATCAGGACAGGTTGCTGGGGCCCTATTTGTACGTCGAATACACAAGAGGGAGCAGTTGCGTGGATCAGTGTCAGATGTGTATGAAGCTTTGCAGCTCCTGATCAACCTGACAATAAACTGTGAATTAGAACGATCGTTCACCTGTAAGTGCACTTCGATCATGAACTTTAGGGTAAGGATACATATCCTCTACCACGGCATTTATTGAAAAGCTGAAAAAAGACACTCACACCTCTCCTTACCATAAGAATCTTGCATTGAGTGTTTTAATGAAGTGTAAAGTTACGGAATGTAACTTGTACATTACACATGTATTGATGTCTCACATGTTTCAGAGACCATAACGGAACACGCCAGGTACGGAGGCTATGCCACTCTGTCCTGGAATCTGCCACAGCCTGGAATCAGAGAGTTCACCGTGTGGAACAATGACAGGGGGAAGTGTATACTTCACATCACTAACTACAACAATGTCAGCATTGCCGGTGAAGAGTTGTCATCTAAAGTGAAATTCACTGGCAATATCACATCCTCTGGAACAGGGCTGATGCGATTTATTATCACTGGTGTCAGATGGGAAGATGAAGGCCAGTATGTGTGTTACAGAGGTCCACGGGCTTTAGATGGGGAGAGGATACCCAACTGTGGACAAAAACTAGATGTGTCTGGTACGAGTAACCACGTATTCATAATCCACTGGAGTTCATTTGGCGTTCATTTACGTGTCCCTAGACACCATTTAGTTCCTCGAGAATTAGGGTCATATGCATGAACTAGCCGTAAAAGCTTATGTGTTAAAAAGAATTGTGCTCTTTTCGGAGGTTTTTGCCAAGGTCAAAGCAAGTTCGTGTCTCTTAGGATAGGTGGGGTAGCCTTGTGGTTAAGACTCGGGTTCGATTCCCCACATGGGTACAATGTGTGAAGCCCATTTCTGGTGTCCCCCGTCGTGATATTGCTGGAATATTGCTAAAAGCGGCCTTAAACTAAATTCACTCACTCACTCACTCGTTTCTCTTAGCAAAGTGCTGAATAATCAACAATCGTTTTTTAAAACTAATTCTCTTTCTAGAAACGTTGATATAATTTTAACATTTGTTTTTATTTTTTTCATATTATACTCAAACTGCGCAGATTGTATTTTATTACTCTTACCACCCCAGGTTGTGGCGGGTACTTTAGCACAACCCCAGGCGTGATTTTCTCACCAAACTACCCCGGCAAATACGGCAATTACCTGACTTGTACCTACATAATTGACGCAGGATCAACCCTAGTTACATTGGTTTTTGAAGATTTCCTTACTTACAACAGCGAAGATTATGTCAAGGTGGGTGCACATATGGTTCGCTTGTTCAACTATCAACCACGCGAGGATCCGGGTAGAATGAGTCGCCCCCCATTGTTGATGATACGAGGCGAAGTGGGAGTTTCGGGGGTCAGGGTTGATGTAGTTGTAGATGTCGTGTGTAGGTCCATGTTCATGAGGTTATAATCAGTTATTTGATTATCTCTTCCAGATTATTTACATACCGCCGCCATATAGCTGGGATATTGCTGGATAGGGCGTTAAACAACACACCAACTAACAAACAAAGGCATTGACGATGTAGTTATGTGCGTCTTTGCAGTAGCTACGGTAATGTCTCTGTTTGAGACCGGGAATTGTTTTTTTCTGCTTTTCGTCAGAATGGATATGGATAATATAAAGAATAAGCTACCTCCACCTCAGAACACGACGACACTAGGTATAGATTTACTTTCTAAATACCGCTATTCTTTGGATGGCAATCTAGGAAGATGTGGCAGCTTATATTTACGGTTCCTAACGTGTCCGTGTCTGCGTTTCCAGGTACACGATGCGTACAATAATCTCCTGGCCCATCTCACAGGCAACCAAACAGGGTACATTGTTCAGTCTGCCTCTTACTACAATGTTTACTTCAATACCATCAGATTTAATAAAGGGAATGGATTCAAAGCCAGATGGTCAAGTAAGTAAGTGTAGTGGTTAGAGCGTCTGTGATGAGACCACCTCTGTGGTTTAGTGGTTAGTGTGTCTGTGATGAAACCACCTCTGTGGTGTAGTGGTTAGAGTGTCTGTGATGAGACCACCTCTGTGGTTTAGTGGTTAGAGAGTCTGTGGTGAGACCACCTCTGTGGTGTAGTGGTTAGAGTGTCTGTGATGAGACCACCTCTGTGGTTTAGTGGTTAGAGTATCTGTGATGAGACCACTTCTGTGGTGTAGTGGTTAGATTGTCTGTGGTGAGATCACCTCTGTGGTGTAGTGGTTAGAGTGTATGTGATGAGACCACCTCTGTGGTGTAGTGGTTAGAGTGACTGTGATGAGACCACCTCTGTTGTTTAGTGGATAGAGTGTCTGTGTTGAGACCACCTCTGTGGTTTAGTGGTTAGATTGTCTGTGATGAGACCACCTCTGTGGTTTAGTGGTTAGATTGTCTGTGATGAGACCACCTCTGTTGTTTAGTGGTTAGATTGTCTGTGATGAGACCACCTCTGTGGTTTAATGGTTAGTGTGTCTGAGATGAGACCACCTCTGTTGTTTAGTGGTTAGAGTGTCTGTGGTGAGGCCACCTCTGTGGTGTAGTGGTAAGAGTGTCTGTGATGAGACCACCTCTGTGGTGTAGTGGTTAGAGCGTCTGTGATCAGACCATCTTTGTGGTGTAGTGGATAGAGTGTCTGTGTTGAGACCACCTCTCTGGTTTAGTGGTTAGTGCGTCTGTGATAAGACCACCTCTGTGGTTTAGTGGTTAGATTGTCTGTGATGAGACCACCTCTGTGGTGTAGTGGATAGAGCGTCTGTGATGAGACCACCTCTGTGGTGTAGTGGTTAGAGTGTCTGTAATGAGACCACCTCTGTGCTGTAGTGGGTAGAGTGTCTGTGATGAGACCACCTCTGTGGTTTAGTGGTGAGAGCGTCTGTGATCAGACCATCTTTGTGGTGTAGTGGATAGAGTGTCTGTGTTGAGACCACCTCTCTGGTTTAGTGGTTAGTGCGTCTGTGATGAGACCACCTCTGTGGTGTAGCGGTTAGAGCGTCTGTGATGAGACCACCTCTGTGGTTTAGTGGTTAGAGCGTCGGTGATGAGACCACTTCTGTGGTGTAGTGGTTAGAGCGTCTGTGATGAGACCACCTCTGTGGTTTAGTGGTTAGAGCGTCTGTGATGAGACCACCTCTGTTGTTTAGTGGTGAGAGGGTCTGTGAAAGCAATGTGTGATATTTATTGACACGTCAACATCCCCAACTGATACCTTCTTTATGTGAAGTGAGCCACGTTTAAGTGTCCAGTTAATTGGCTACAATATTCAAAATATGTTTCTGTGAACCTTTCATTGAATCATTGTGCTTCAGACACCACAACTGAGCACGCCAGGTACGGAGGTTATGCCACTCTGTCCTGGAACCTGCCACAGCCTGGAATCAGAGAGTTCACAGTGTGGAACAACAGTTCGGCAGAATACATTCTACACATCACTAACTACACCAACGCCAGTGCCGCCAGTGAGAAGTTGGCGTCCAGGATAGACTTCATCGGGAGTATAACACCATCAGGTACAGGGCTGTTTAGGTTTGTCATCCAGGACGTCACTGGAGCTGATGCAGGTCGTTACGAGTGTTACAGAGGCTCCATGGTTGCAAGAGGAGCTAGGATCCCTCACTGTGGGCAGGAGCTGACTGTGCTGGGTAGGAATCCTGTTATATTAACATCTTCCCGGCCATGAAGTTCCTCATCCTAAAGTTCTTACATTCCCCGCAAGAGCAGTACGTCCTCCGTTTAATTAACAAAGATAATCATCATAATATGGTAGGAACCCTGCTTGTAGTAATGGAATGAATCATGCATGTATTTCACTCAAATGGAGTAAAACTATTACATTTAACCGCCACCGTGTCGAACTTTCGGTTGTTTCGAAATATGAGTTTGGTCCTTGCATATTCCTTAAAAAGTCACTCTGCAGTTGTGTTGATTCTTGGATGTAGTTCCCTTCAGCGTCACCACAGTGGTGTTCGACTGTACAGTAGGTACTTTGAAACCGATGCACACTCACAGGTGATTTTAGTTTTATACATTGCACAAATGACCAAGCAATCAGCTATAGGTCAGAACAGATCTACCGTGTACGACTGTACGTCCGCTTTAGCGACATTGCAATCGTTTCCGCTGGTTTTGAGTTCGAGTCCGAAGGCTGTAGTGAGTGAGTGAGTTTAGTTTTACACCACTTTTAGCAATATTCCAGCAATATCACATGTTGCCGGGAAATCACAGTTTACGACTCTTTCCCAATACTCTAGCAATATCACGGCAGAGGACACCAGAAGTGGGTTTCACACCTTGTACCCATTTTGGGAATCGAATCCAGGTCTTCGGCGTGACGAGCGAACGTCTTAACCACTAGGCTAGAACTATGGTTATGTGGGCAGTGAATGGTTCAGTGAAATTTAATTTTGACTACAAAGGGCGAAACAGGGCTTAAGGATGATACATGTGGTGTGGTGCTGCTGGCGATTTAGTGTCCAGATTAATCGACACCCGTGTCCATGTAAAACACTACAGTTATTGTATTACATTGTTTCTCATATGATTAGCAGAGAGCAGTATAGTCCAGTCAAAATGTGGCAACTCAAAATGATTGGTACAGAAATGATTTGAGTGTTTTCAAAAATGTTTAAGTTATAACTAATGACTATTAAAAATTCCTCCCTTGAAATATGATGCTAAGTCCTATTGAAGGTGGTAAAAAGTTGAATAATTGAAAATTTCAGAGAATAATTTTTAGAATCTCATATTGAGACACAAATATACCTTTTTATATATATTTTCAAAGAGAACACAAGGTACTACTAATAAATGGATTAGAAAAGTCAAATAATGTTATCCGAAGTCCTATTTTGGGGTAAAGGTTAAATAGTTGAAATTTTCAGAGGATAGTTATAAAAATTCATTTTGAAACACAAATGTACTTTTAAATATATATTTCCAAATAGGATACAAGGCGCTACTAATACATGGGCTGGAAAAGTCAAATAATTTTAATAAAACCATAGATATAAGACTTTTCAAAGCATAAATTGTCTATTTTCAAGGAAAAGGAACTTCAGGAACATGCAATTTAGTTCCTCTTTATGTCTCATCAAAGTTATGATTTATCTTAAAGAAACTTACTATCCTGTATGAATATGAAGAAGCTGTTCTCATATATTTCATAGTACAGATGTCTCTATGTTGTATATGTAATAGTCGACAACTTGTATGTCCATCCGAAGGTAAGTCTCTAATAATAAATATTTCATTCCATATCTCTACAACTAATACATATTCATTCACAAAATTTGAATAGAGAGAGAGATCAAGTTATGAACTTGAACCCTGTGCTATTTTTAGATCTTGAAATGTGTATTTGTTGTTTCCATGGCAATAAGTTTGACTTTGTACATGGTAGTATACTTGCAACGACTATATACAAAGCCAGAAGGAGTTCAAGTAAGAAACTATGTGGTGCCTTTGCTCTCCAGGTATTTGTCCATGACAGTAGGTTTAGGTTTACTAAACGAAGAGTGTTTTTATTGCTAAAGACTGAAATCAACATCACTATTTATCTGCTGTAACCTCATGGAACCGACTGAAGTACAGAGGATCAGATCATGCATGACGGAACTTCCATGTCAGCATAGGGGGGACAAATTATAACAGTAAATCCATTACAGTGTCCTATGCGAGATATTATCTGTCAAATACAACCAGCTTACTCCCCCCCCTGAATATGAATCTGTGTAGATGGCTTGACTCTGGTTAACCTAATATATGTGGCTTGTGGAAATGTGTACCGATATTGTAATTCTTTGTCTGAACGCTCACAAACACATAGGTTGAGCAAATACAGCTTTGAGTGTAAGATTCAGCTTGATCAAAGGCATGAAGGTGACAATACTGAGAATGATACAGTAATGGTGACCCTGAACACCAAGGGCTTTTCATTGGGGTGACAGAGATACCATTGGTCTCAAAGTCTGTATATTTGAAGGAATTTTGAGTATCATGCTGGGTGAGAATGCTATTCCAAGCAAAACTTAACAGTAACAGAAGATATTCTGAGTAAAGGAAGTCCAATAATTTGAAGGGTTGTGTTCAGGCTAACTTAAATATTTGAGATGTGGTTGGGTGAGGTGATTGATTCAACGGTGCTTGCAATAGTTTTTTCACTTACCGGTACATCGAATGGTACATAATTTCATGACATTACCCTCAACGAGATTTAATACCATGGGAGATATAGTGATCCCTGTGTCAGTCAAAAATCTTTTCGTTTCCTGAGAAAACATTTAAGACGGTTGATAAACAAGCCTACACCACCTACTATTAAAGTATTAGAAATACTTAAAGTATCTGTCCTTTTATAATTTCATTTTACAAAATACCAATATCATTCATTTTTAGTGGCAGTTAAAAGAACAATACTGGTTGTACTTTCAAAACCTTTCAAGAGCTTTTAACAAGAAGCCTAGCACGGCGGGGGACACCAAAAATGGGCTTCGCACATTGCATACATCGAACCCGGGGTCCTCAGTTTGACGCGCGAACGCCTTAACCACCCGGCTAGAACTATGGTGATGTGGGCAATGAATGGTTCAGTGAAATTTATTTTGACTACAATGTGCGAAACAGGGCTTAAGAATGATAAATGAATTGTTTGTCCTAAATAATGCTGTGGAAGTGGAAGGATACGCCGTCGACAGTCATCTTTATCTTATATCCGTTAAACCAACCTGGATTGTTTTATGAAATTTGACTTCATCCCGTTATGTCATCTGTTAAATTGCACTAAACTCACCCAATCCTAAGAGCAGAACGGTGGGGTAAATTAGTGATTAAAGCGTTCGCTCGTCACGCCGAAGACCTGGATTCGATTCCTTACATGTATGCAATGTGTGAAGCCCATTTCTGGTGTCCCCCGCCGTGATAAGCGGCGTAAAACTACACCCACTCACTCCTACTAGTATCAACAATCATCCAGCTAAAATGTTGTTGGTTCAGGATGCGGCGGGTTCTATAACACAACTTCCGGCTTCTTCATCTCCCCCTACGTCTACAGCTGGTATGAAACACATCTGCCTTGCTCCTACACCATTGACGCCGGAACAACGTTAGTGACGCTTGTGTTGGAAAACTTGGAAACTCATGTTCACGACGTCATCAAGGTATGTATACCAAATACTCCAAGACATTGCAGTAAACATTTAAATGATGTTTAATGTAGAGAAGTGCTTTGAGCATATCCCTGTGACGTGGGAAGGCGCTATATAAATGGCCTATTATTATTATTATTAGAGTAAGAGATATTGAGTCCTGACCCCAGCAATCCGGAGTCGCCAGGCCATTACGTATGTGTTTGCGTTTTAATCGACATTCCTCCTTCTCTTAAAGGCGATGGGTCAGCCTCCTGGTTAAAGCGTTCGTTTGTCACGCCGAAGAACCGGGTTCGATTTCCTACATTGGTTCAATGTGTGAAGCCCATTTCCCCCCGCCGTAATATTGCTGAAATATGGCTAAAGTGGCGCAAAACGTGGTTTCCGGGCAACAACCAAAAACCTCAAAGGATAAAATCCTTTGTAGATACGAGACCAAACATATATATAAACTTTATAAACACATATGGCATATGCGTTGGCTATCGGAGATTGGGTTTTATAACCGACTGTCGGAGACGTGGATAAATCATTAAGGCATTTTTATTCAGATCAAAAGATTGTCTAAAATACAGAATATCAGGATGTGCCACTCACAGGGCAGCACTGGAAACAACTGAGAACACATTTAATGAGGAAATTCTAGATATCAGTATTCATGTAACGTTTATGCCTCCACTGTTGAGGGCTGTTTTCTCCACACTACAGCACATTACTAGTCCAGTAAAATTAATGGAAAAAATCACTGAACCTCAAACAAATTGGTACAGAAATGATTTTGTGTTTATGTCATTTGCGATATATGTACTTATGTTTACAATATATAAAAAGTCATCCCTTGGATGTTGATACTAAGTGGCTCTTGGGGGACAAAAACTATGAAAAATGGAACTTTTCAATTATATTTTCTATCTGAGAAAAAAAGTCCAGCAAATGGTATAAAATCATGCTAAAACAGACAACTGAAGTGTACAACATAGTAAATAATGAAAATAAAAACCGAAAAGAAAATTGGATTTTGGACACTCCAGCGCACTGGAGACGAATAAATGAGAGTTATCTTCCATTTGTTACAAAAGATTGAAGTAGCAGGTTGGAAAGAGTGAGTGAGTGAGTTTAGTTTTACGTCGCACTCAGCAATATTCCAACTATATGGCGACAGTCTGTAAATATTCGAGTCTGGACCAGACAGTCCAGTGATCAATAGCATGAGCATCGATCATTGGGATACAATGACATGTATCAACCAAGTCAGCGAGCCTGACCACCCAATCCCATTAGTCGCCTCTTACGATAAGCATGGGTTACTGAAGATCAATTCCAACCTGGATCTTCACGGGTGTTAGGCTTCTTGTTAAAAGCTCTTGAAAGGTTTTGAAAGTACAACCAGTATTATCCTTTTTACTGCCTGTAAATATGTAATAATATTGGTATTTTGTAAAATGAAATTACAAAAGAACAGATACTTTAAGTATTTCTAATACTTTAATAGTAGGTGGTGTAGGCTTGTTTATCAACCGTCTTAAATGTTTTCTCAGGAAACGAAAAGATTTTTGACTGACACAGGGATCACTATATCTCCCATGGTATTAAATCTCGTTGGGAGTAATGCCATGAAATTATGTACCTTTCGATGTAACGGTAAGTGAAAAACTATTGCAAGCACCGTTGAATCAATCACCTCACCCAACCACATCTCAAATATTTAAGTTAGCCTGAACACAACTCTTCAAATTATTGGACTTCCTTTACTCAGAATATCTTCTGTTACTGTTAAGTATTGCTTGGAATAGCATTCTCACCCAGCATGATACTCAAAATTCCTTCAAATATACAGACTATGAGACCAATGGTATCTCTGTCACCCCAATGAAAAGCCCTTGGTGTTCAGGGTCACCATTACTGTATCATTCTCAGTATTGTCACCTTCATGCCTTTGATCAAACTGAATCTTACACTCAAAGCTGTATTTGCTCAACCTATGTGTTTGTGAGCGTTCAGACAAAGAATTACAATATCGGTACACATTTCCACAAGCCACATATATTAGGTTAACCAGAGTCAAGCCATCTACACAGATTCATATTCAGGGGGGAGTAAGCTGGTTGTATTTGACAGATAATATCTCGCATAGGACACTGTAATGGATTTACTGTTATAATTTGTCCCCCCTATGCTGACATGGAAGTTCCGTCATGCATGATCTGGTCCCTTGTACCCTCAATAGGTTCCATTAGGTTACAGCAGATAAATAGTGATGTGGATTTCAGTCTTTAGCAATAAATACACTCTTCGTTTAGTAAACCTAAACCTACTGTCATGGACAAATACCTGGAGAGCAAAGGCACCACTTAGCTCCTTACTTGAACTCCTTCTGGCTTTGAATATAGCCGTTGCAAGTATACTACCATGTACAAAGTCAAACTTATTGCCATGGAAACAACAAATACACATTTCAAGATCTAAAAATGGCACAGGGCTCAAGTTCATAACTTGATCTCTCTCTCTATTCAAATTTTATGAATGAATATGTATTAGTTGTAGAGATATGGAATGAAATATTTATTATTAGAGACTTACCTTCGGATGGACATACAAGTTGTCGACTATTACATATACAACATAGAGACTGTACTATGAAATATATGAGAACAGCTTCTTCATATTCATACAAAATAGTAACTTTCTTTAAGATAAATCATAACCTTGTATGAGACAAAAAGAGGAACTAAATTGCACGTTCCCGAAGTTCCTTTCCTTTGCAAATAGACAATTTATGCTTTGAAAAGTCTTTTATCTATGGTTTTATTCAAATTGTATGACTTTTCCAGCATATGTATTAGTTGCGCCTTGTATCCTATTTGGAAATATATATTTTAAAGTACATTTGTGTTTCAAAATGAAGTTTTTATAACTATTCTCTGAAAATTTCAACTATTTAACCTTTACCCCAAAATAGGACTTCGGATAACATTATTTGACTTTTCTAATCCATTTATTAGTAGTACCTTGTGTTCTCTTTGAAAATATATATAAAAAGGTATATTTGTGTCTCAATATGAGATTTAAAAGAAATTTCAATGAAAATTTCAATTATTCAACTTTTTACCACCTACAATAGGACTTAGCATCATATTTCAAGGGAGGACTTTTTAATAGTCATTAGTTATAACTTAAACATTTTTGGAAACACTCAAATCATTTCTGTACCAATTATTGTGAGGTTTTGTCACATTTTGACTGGACTATACTGCTCTCTGCTAATCATATGAAAAACAATGTAATACAATAACTATAGTGTTTTACATGGACACGGGTGTCCATTAATCTGGACACTAAATCGCCAGCAGCACTACACAAGGTGTAGGCGATATTCGACAAATACAATCACTGTGGTCACCATCACTTTCCAGTATTGAGGGTTAGAGCGTCCGCCCTAGAGCGGAAGGTCGCGGGATCGATCCCCAGCCGCGTCATTCCAATAGATGTTAAAATATGGTACTTGTTGGTCCCTGTCTGGCATTAATGGGTACAAGAAGGACCGGTCGGCTTGGAGTCAGTATAATGTGTCTGAGTGGGGTATTCATGCTAAAATGCCGCATGGTATCTCAGTGAGCTAGCACTATAAACCACCTTGAGTCTGGGCTAGTACAAGCAGTCGCACATACACATACACGCACGTCGTCATTTCAGCCGAATATTCTTAGTATGACGTTAAATCCCATTTCACCTCACCTCACCTTCTAGTATTGAGGGACTCCAAAGCAATTCGATTTCACGATATGCTAAAATAAAGTGATAAAAAGGCTTAAAAATGATGCCATTTCTACAGGGACAACTCTACTTGCAGAAGAATGAGGACAATTTTGACAACGACATTAGAATCTATGTCGAAAGGTCGTCTATACAGAATAACACAGTTGTATATCCATAAAATTATCCTCATTCTTCATCTTGTCTTCTTCTTCATGCCAATCCAAAAATTCTACTTGCTAAAATTATGTACATTCTGCATATACAACTTTTTGAAAAATAACCCTGTCAATGTATTCTATGACAAATTGACCTGTTCTGTCAACCTATTCTACTGTCACATGCTAGAATATGCCACATAACAACACGGTGCCATGTTGCAGGTGTTTGCCACAAAAAACGCATTGCCTTGTTGCAGTTGTATGCCACATAACAACACGGTGCCTTGTTGCTGGTGTTTGCCACATAAAAACAGATTGCCTTCTTGCAGGTGTTTGCCACATAGCAACACTGCGCCTTCTTGCAGATGTTTGCCACATAACAACACATTGCTATGAAGCAGGTGTTTGCCACATAACAATACGGTGCCATGTTGCAGGTGTTTGCCACAAAAGAACACATTACCTTGACGCAAGTGTATGCCACATAACAACACGGTGCCTTGTTGCAGGTGTTTGTCACATAACAACACATTGCCATGTTGCAGGTGTTTTCCACATAACAACACATTGCCATGTTGCAGGTGTTTGCCACATAACAACACATTGCCTTGTTGTAGGTGTTTGCCACATAACAACACATTGCCATGTTGCAGGTGTTTGCCACATAACAACACATTGCCTTGTTGTAGGTGTTTGCCACATAACAACACGGTGCCTTGTTGCAGATGTTATGCACATAAAAACACGGTGCCTTGTTTCAGGTGTTTGCCACATAACAGCACGGTGTCTTGTTACAGGTGTATGCCACATAACAACACATTGCCATGTTGCAGGTGTTTGCCACATAACAACACGGTGCCTTGTTGCAGGTGTATGACAAGTCCCACTCACGCCTGGCGTATCTCAGCTACAAGTGGACGAGGCACATCCTTCAGTCGGCCACGCTCTACAGGATCTGGTTTATAAAAAGGCCAAGGTTTAAAGCCGCATGGTCAGGTCGGAAACACATGCAGATATGTTAAATATCATTGTTATTGTTCAACAGTAGCACGTGCATATATACTCAGCAACAGAAGTTCTGTAACGCTATTAAAATGGTGTAGAAAAACACATAAGAAAACGAAGTTGATACAAACGCTTTTTGTTGGATTTTGGTCTGTAATGTGCCATGGTATTTTCCTGCCCTGAAGTTGGCATTGTCCGGGTGTTAATTCCGGAAGTCTGGCAGCGGAAGCTGCGCAATTGTCTGTTGTGAGATGGCGACCAGTGAACACATGTCAAGCGATGTTGACTTATGTTATCGCTTAGTGGTTCAAGAATGAAGGGTCTATGGACAAATACACAAGCCTTTTATTTCATAGAACATACATAAAATTTTGACCTGCTAATGACAACTTTAATTTCGGATTAGTGACAATTTCAAAGGGTAAAAAACACTTATCTGAATGCTGGGGGCAAAATGAAAAGTCCAAATCTAATACCGGGTATGACCACCAACAGAGTTGATACAGGCAACACACCTCCGTCGCATGGAATTAATCAGTCGTGTATGACATATCGTTGTGGGATGTTGTCCCAGATCTCACGAAGACGTTGTTGCAGTTGCTGCAGCGTTACAGGCGGATTTGGTAAGCGTCGCAAGCCTCTTTTCATTGCATCCCACACATGCTCAATAGGCGACATGTCCGGTGACTTAGCTGGCCAGGGAAGTACATCAACATTGTTCTGAGCCAGAAAACGTTGATCAATACAGGCAGTGTGCGGTCTGGCGTTGTCCTGCTGTACCATCATCCCTGGTCCATGTTGCCGTATGAACGGTAAAACGGCTGACTGGAGAACCTTATCCCGATATCGCTGCCCTGTCCGATTACCAGCGATGATGAGAAGGTCTGTCTTGTGTGTAGCCGTAATCACGCCCCAGACCATCACGCTACCGCCTCGAAACCGATCAATTTCCATGACACAATTGTCAGCATAACGTTTGCCACGTCGACGGTAAACTCGCACACGGCCATCAGCTCTGTGAAGCGAAAATCTGGACTCACCAGTGAAGAGGACATGATTCCCTGACGTTGTGTCCATCTCACATGCTGTCTTGCCCACTGTAGACGTCGTTGGCGTTGTTGTAACGTCAAAATCGTCCGTCTTGATGGGCGTCGTGCGATGATCCCTAAACACCGTAAACGTCGACGAACGGTTTGTGGTGATATCCACCTCAGTCCAGGGATGGTTGCTGCCGTGACTGCTGCTGGCTGGAAGCGGTTCCGGAGGTGTGTCTGTCGAATCAAGCTGTCTTGACGTCGGGTCGTACCGGGGATCGACCACTACGAGGACGGTCTCTGACGTGATTTGTCTGTTGGTGTCGTTGCCACAAGTTCCATACTGTGTTTCGATGGACATTGAATCTGTGAGCAACTTCTCGGTATGGAGTACCGGATTGGAGCATTCCAATAACTCTCAAACGTTCATTTTCTGTTAGCCTTGGCATAACAATTGCTTAATTCTGCTGAGAAAGTTAATGATTATTCAGTTTGCACTCCTTCAACGTCATTCCAATAACTCACCAACGTTCATTTTCTGTTAGCCTTGGCATAACAATTGTTTAATTCTGCTGAGAAATTTGATGTTTTTTCAGATTGCACAACGGAATGAAACATTCTCTCCTCTACCCAGGTTGAAATATCCACAGTCTAACTCATTCTTCACAAAATTTCTCGTGTCATTTTTTCATGATTTGCAAACATTACCTTGACAGATGCGTTTGGATACTCTGCCATATTGCCGTGAATCCGGTTTTTGATAATTTGTATACAAAGGTGACGTCATATATAGAGATTATTACACTCGCAAGTGTGTCATACGACTCATACGAAATGAGTGGGAAATTTTCCATAATACATGATTTTGCACGAGTCTCTTATAAGTCATATGCCACATTTGCGAGTGTAATAATTTCTTTATTATCCAGCTATGTATGTGAAGATCCATCAGAGAATATTAAATTTCACCGTAACGAAAATCCCGCAAGCCGAAACTGTCGTGGCTCAATAATGCTCGCCATCGAGGTCAGTGAGTAAGTAGGTTTTACTTGTCAAAATAGTGCACACTTACGACTCCAACTTCTAACTATAGAACATACTAAAGCTATAATATAATATCTGTCAATCAACATCATCAGTATATATTTACAAATACTATATCGGCATTGCTATCATGACTAACCTAACAAAGTATTTGTCGCCGAGGATCCATACAAGCTGTCGGAGTAGTGACGATGTCATATTTCGACCAATCAGCTACGGCTAAAGTGATATATGCATATGTGCACATGTTGAAATTATTTACTCGGTTATCTCAACCATATGGATAATACATATTGTTAGCTTTATTGCATGTTTCTCGATGTCCCTCATGTTGTGTTATGGCGTCATCGGCTACAACGAAGCACACGTGATACATGTGGTCTCACCTTAGGCAGGTGAGTTTGTTCAAGGTTGCCTCGGTTCCCCCTGCAAAAAATTGGTACCCGGTGAGATAAGTCATGTGACTATAACCTTCTAGCGCTTCACAGGCAGCTTGGGTTATCCGGGATGATAATGATCAGACGCTGATTACAGCGTCCATTGAGTAACTAGTCAGATGGATTTTAGGCGCTTTATAAATGAAATATTAATAATATCATTAACTTTCATGATGGTTTCAGTGACTACGACGGAACATGCAAGATACGGAGGGTACGCCACTCTGTCGTGGCCCCTACCAACACCTAGTGTTGAAGAGTTCACCGTGTGTAACAGTGCATCGTCAGCGTGCCTCCTTCATGTCACGGGCTACGTGGATACTGCCAACTTATCATCCAGGGTGAGATCTATGGGCAGGTCGTCTTCATCAGGGTCGGGACAGTTCCGATGGCTGCTGTATAATGTCACGTGGCAGGATGAGGGCTACTACCGGTGTCACAGAGGTTCTCCTGGTGCTAGGGGATCTGTAATCCCGAACTGTGGACAGAACCTTACAGTGCTAAGTAAGTGCAGTTCTGTATCTCCCGGGTCTCAAAGACAAGTAGAATTGGTCTTCAGTAACCCATACCTGTCGTACGAGGCGACAACGTACCCTGATTACGTAGATCGATGCTCATGCTGTTGATCACTGGATTGTCTGGTCCCGACTCGATTATTTACAGACCGCCGCTATATAGCTGGAATATTGCTGCGTGTGGCGTTAAACAATAACCAAACCTCAACAATAAGTATCGTGATGATGCAATCAGTCATTCCGACTCACTTCCATCTGTATAGGCCACATCGATACTTTGCTGGAAGACCATGTGTATTCGTGAAACCTAAATGTTGTAAAAAAACTGCAATGGGTTAGTCTATAAATGTGTGGCATAAACAAACAAACCTTATCACCAGGTACTCAGTATTTGTATTAATATCTACGGGTATACAAACAATGTTTCGACAGAACAGTCAGTCTTCGTTGATCTGTTGTAGGCAGTTAGGAGATATTATTGTATGAATTCCCCTGATATTTATATACATCTCAGTTTAAAGCTTTTACCCTTTAACTGGTATGGAACTACGGCGGGTCATTTCAAATTTCAAAAGGCAGTAGCTGTATCTCAGTTCTTCTGTTACAGCCTGAACATCTTGCAAGTATAGGCAATGTTCTGGAGAACGTGATTTATAAATGTAACATCAGATTTTATTATTTAGTTCAGTATCAAAGAATCATAGTCTTGAATAATTCTCAACCAGTGAAGATCTGTTTAGAATTGGTGTTCTGCAAACCCATGCTTGTTGTAAGAAGCGACTAACGGGATCGGGTGGTCAGGCTCGTTGACTTGGTTGACACATGTCATCGGTTCCCAATTGCGTGGAACGATGCTCATGATGTTGACCACTGGACTGTCTGGTCCAGACTCGATTATTTACACACAGCCACCATATAGCTGGAATATTGTGGCGTAGAACTAAACTCACTCACTCGCTCTGTTTGAAAAGCCGTGGTATCAGTAGGTGTCAGTAAGAGACACTCTGTGACTCTCCAATCTAGACACGTTTGGCGTAGACGTGTGTGTCATGTTGGACTCCATGGATCTGGCTGAACAAACATGAACTCTTCTTGGGGGACACTCCCTCGATATTGAGGATCATAAACTGCTACACCCTGTGGGACTATTCTTCCTCTCCAGTGGACTCACTTGCCATTAACATTTAACTTACTTTCCCCTACTGCTCAGCTACAAATCTCCAGGTTTGGAGGAGCTAAAGACACTCACTCACTCACCCATTCAGCGTGCGAGTAGTTGACGCTTTCGGTTGGGCAGGACAAGTTTACCCTTGTCGGTAACACCGGGTGTCCACACAGTTTCTCAATCAAATAATTGTCACATGGCCCTACCCTTTTGCCCCTTCAAACGATAAGATTAGTAAACTGTTTATATGAGTGAGTTAAAATTTTACGTCACATCGGCAATATTTCAGCCATATCGTGACGACAAAAATTAATGCAGAATAAATATATTTATACAGTTTTAAAAACCTGTCAGTGAAGGACAGTATAACGATTACATTATTACAAATGAATTTAAACTAGTTTGAGTTCAGTGTAAAATTTTAAATCATTTCTAAACAACACGATATAAAATCGGGCTACAGATCGCCAGGAACCGAAGGTAGCTCACCACACTAGGGACCATGGGGACTTACATTACTTTTGCTACCTGCATGGACCCTAGTTGGATTTACATCATCCCTTCAGCTGTTGGAGATGGGTTTTTTAGCAATTTATCCATATATTAAAACTACAAACATTCTACGATTAAAATTCTGGCAGTGATCAACATACATTGAATGATGCGGCCTTTAAGTACCCTCTTCTTATGTGCACCATGGTCTTATAATTTTCAAGGGTGGTAGGGTAGCCTAGTGGTTCAAGCGTTCGCTGGTCACGCCGAAGACCCGTGTTCGATTCCTGACATGGGTTCAATGTGTGAAGCCCATTGGCCTGGTGTCCCCGCCGTGCTATTTATGCAGCGCTGGTAAACGCGGCGAAAATCCATACTTACTCACTCACTCATTATTTCAGGTTTCACAGACCTTCTTTGTGTTTCAGCGGCTACAACAGTGTACACTAGCCCGGGTGGAACTGCCTCTTTCTCTATGAAACTACCCAGGCCTGGAGTGAAGGAGTTTACAGTGAGACGATGTCCATACTGGATGGATGACCTGGCAGATGGGTCAGAAGTGTTCCGTGTAACCGACTACAGCAGCGTGGTGACAGCCAGGGAATACGAGTCCAGGGCATTGTTTACAGGGCACATCACATCATCAGGAGCTGGAGTCTTCGGTTTCGTCTTACACAATGTCGACATGTGGTTTAAAGAAGGAGATTACTTTGGTGTTACTAACCAATCTGGGTCTGGAGAGTCCGTTGGTGGACAAAGACTTGTAGTTCTGAGTGAGTCATTGCACCAAACACTATTGTAATCATTACCTTTGGTTTATACAAGAACGTTAGTGTTGTACATAGAATAGAATAATTAAATGGCAATATATAACCGTGTCGTGTGATTGTTTCAGAAACTTCTTCTCTTCTTCTTATATATGGACTACTGTACGCCTCGGTATTCATCACTTTCTTTATTTATTTTATATATATATATATATATATATATATATATACAATATATAACAAATTTATGGATAACAACTTCTTTATTTTCGTGAGTGCGACGTTTCGATACAGATTCTTGTACCGTTGTCAAGCAAGAGTGATACATGAAGTGTAGGAGCTGCATATATATACTGTATATAACAATGAAACAACATAATAGACAAAGGAAACAACATAATTGCCATGATTGGCTAAGCAGTAAGCTGATGAAGCCAGTAAGTACATAAAGGATAGTGAATGGAAGCCAGAGATGTAGTTACAATGAGATGTTTATACAATGGATGCGATGTTTATACAATAGACTGGGCTTGGTGGAGGAGTGGATCATAAGCAGATGGAATGAAGTATCCTTGGTCACGGTTGATGGTAGGCTTGTGGCGTTTGATGTGAATGGCTTCTGTGAGCTTGCGTTTAGTGAAGTCCGTTTGGTTGTTGGCGAGAATGGTGATGTCGGACCACTCTATTTGATGATTGGGGTTGGCTTTGATGTGGTCAGAGATAGCTGATTTGGTGTCGGAATTAGCAACAGAGGTGCGATGTTCTTTGACTCGGGTGTTGATGGGTCGGGATGTTTCACCTATGTAGCATTGTCCACAATCACAGTCTATTTTGTAAATAACACATTTCGGGTTGTTGTTGTTGACGGTGGGTTGTTTTCTTCCGTTAGCATGGAGGAGGCTGTTGAGGCTGGAGGACGCTGAGAAGGTAGTGTCTATTCCTGCCTGTTGTTTCAGGAGTCGGCTGATTTGGTGTGATGGTTTACCAATGTAGGGAATGGATATCTTGATGGGGGCTGATTCTGGTTTAGATCTTTTGGCAGGAGGTGAAAGCGTTGCTTCGATGGTTCTGTTGACTGTTTCAGGTGGGTAGTGGTTGCGTTCTACAAAGACTTTCCTCAGGTGTTCAATTTCTTCCTGTAGGTTTGTTGAGCAGATGTTTTTGGCTCTTCTGGTCAATGTAGAGATGACGCCGGTCTTGACTTTAGGGGGGTGGTTGGAGTTGTAGTGGATGTATTGATCTGTATGAGTTGGTTTTCTGTACACGGAGGTCTGGAGTTGGTTGCAGGAGGTGCGGGACACAAGGACATCAAGGAAAGGTAGTTGGTTGTTCTGCTCTGTTTCAATGGTGAATTTGATGCGGGGATGTTGGGTGTTGAGATGGGCGAGGAGCTGCTTAGGATCTTGCTGAGGTTGGAGGACGACGAAGGTGTCATCCACTTTGCGGTACCAGCAGGACGGTTTGAAGGGTGCAGTTTCTAGGGCCTTCTCTTCCAGGTCGGCCATGTAAATTTCTGTTAGGATGGGGGATAGTGGGGAGCCCATGGGAAGTCCGTGGATTTGCTCATAGATGGCATCGCCCCAGGTGAAGTAGGTGGAGTTGATGCAGGCGGAGGTGAGGCTGATGATAGAGTCGGTAGAGAGGCTGGTGTTGAGGGGTTGTTGGAGCCAACCCCAATCATCAAATAGAGTGGTCCGACATCACCATTCTCGCCAACAACCAAACGGACTTCACTAAACGCAAGCTCACAGAAGCCATTCACATCAAACGCCACAAGCCTACCATCAACCGTGACCAAGGATACTTCATTCCATCTGCTTATGATCCACTCCTCCACCAAGCCCAGTCTATTGTATAAACATCGCATCCATTGTATAAACATCTCATTGTAACTACATCTCTGGCTTCCATTCACTATCCTTTATGTACTTACTGGCTTCATCAGCTTACTGCTTAGCCAATCATGGCAATTATGTTGTTTCCTTTGTCTATTATGTTGTTTCATTGTTATATACAGTATATATATGCAGCTCCTACACTTCATGTATCACTCTTGCTTGACAACGGTACAAGAATCTGTATCGAAATGTCGCACTCACGAAAATAAAGAAGTTGTTATCCATAAATTTGTTATATATTGTACGTCTCAACTTCTAAAATGCCACTCAAACAAGTTATATATATATATATATATATGTATATATATAATACATAGATAAATAAAAACAGAATGCCATTTTCTCCAACATGTTTCGCTACAATCTCCCTGAAGAGTAAAGAACGAAACATGTTGGAGAAAATGGCATTCTGTTTTAATTTATCTATGTAATATTTATGACTGAACACCTGTACTACTTTGGACATTTTGTGCGTATATATATATATGTGTGTGTGCGTGTGTGTGTGTGTGTGTGTGTGTGTGTGTGTGAATGTCTAATTCAATTACATATTTCGACCAACTGTTCCCGTGTTTGTTCCGGTGGACACTTGACTTGCCCTTGCATGTGTTTATGTGGCTGTAATGAACGGGCAGAATACGGCCACATTTGTCGCTGAGATTTCCAAAGGAAGGATATTACCGCTTGTATTTACATTGACACACGTTATCAAATAAGAGTCGTATTTGCTTCTGTGTGTGGTCTACTGTGTTCTGCGATATATTTGAATAGTTTTCGATAGAAATGTATATGTTGCCATACTTTCATTTTACACATTCAATCCATTGTTACCAGAAACTCAAATCCCGTATATTGTGGCCTCGTACGGACGTCGGCCGGGAAGCATCAGCTTGTCCTGTCACGTGATCTGCCAAGAAGACAACCAGGAATGTCCCCCGGAAGTGTCGGTGACCTGGAGGAAGAATGGGGTGGTGCTGGCTGAGGGATATCATAAGGCTGTGGAAACCTGGGGGTGGGAGAATAATATCTGCAGCTACTACAGCACGCTGTATGTGAGACAGTGGAAGCCAGGGGAGAGATACGAGTGTCACGGTGTGGTGGAACACACACTAGTCTCAGGGTGGAGTGAGGAGTATGTCGTGGAGTCAGGTGAGTCTCGGTGTGGTGAAACACACACCAGTGTCTTGGTGGAGTGGTGTCAGGTGAGTCTCGGTGTGGTGGAACACACACTAGTGTCAGGGTGGAGTGAGGAGTATGTCGTGGGGTAGGGTGAGTATCGGTGTAGTGAAACACACACTAGTGTCAGGGTAGAGTGGTGTCAGGTGAGTCTAGGTGTGGTGGAACACATTAGTGTCTAGGTGGAATGGTGTCAGGTGAGTCTCGGTGTGGTGGAACACACACTAGTGTCTAGGTGGAGTGGTGTCAGGTGAGTCTCGGTGTGGTGGAACACACACTAGTGTCTGCGGGGAGTGGTGTCAGGTGAGTCTCGGTGTGGTGGAACACATTAGTGTCTAGGTGGAGTGGTGTCAGGTGAGTCTCGGTGTGGTGGAACACACACTAGTGTCTAGGTGGAGGGGTGTCAGGTGAGTCTCGGTGTGGTGGAACACACACTAGTGTCTGGGGGGAGTGGTGTCAGGTGCGTCACGGTGTGGTGGAACACACACTAGTGTCTGCGGGGAGTGGTGTCAGGTGAGTCTCGGTGTGGTGGAACACATTAGTGTCTAGGCGGAGTTGTGTCAGGTGAGTCTCGGTGTTGTGGAACACACACTAGTGTCTAGGTGGAGTGGTGTCAGGTGAGTCTCGGTGTGGTGGAACACACACTAGTGTCTGGGTGGAGTGGTGTCAGGTGAATCTCGATGTGGTTGAACACACACTAGTGTCTAGGTGGAGTGGTGTCAGGTGAGTCTCGGTGTGGTGGAACACACTAGTGTCTGGGTGGAGTGGTGTCAGGTGAGTCTCGGTGTGGTGGAACACACACTAGCGTCTGGGTGGAGTGGTGTCAGGTGAGTCTCGGTGTGGTGGAACACACACTAGTGTCTAGGTGGAGTGGTGTCAGGTGAGTCTCGGTGTGGTGGAACACACTAGTGTCTAGGTCGAGTGGTGTAAGGTGAGTCTCGGTGTGGTGGAACACACACTAGTGTCTGGGTGGAGTGGTGTCAGGTGAGTCTCGGTGTAGTGGAACACACACTAGTGTCTAGGTAGAGTGAGGAGTATGTCGTGGAGGCAGGTGAGTCTCGGTGTGGTGGAACAAACCCTAGTGTCTAGGTGGAGTGGTGTCAGGTGAGTCACGGTGTGGTGGAACACACACACGTGTCTGAGAGGAGTGGTGTCAGGTGAGTCATGGTGTGGTGGAACAGACACTAGTGTCTGCGTGGGGTCAGGAAACACACACATTACAGCTATGCAACGGTAGAGAACACCAGTAAATACACACATTGCAGCTGTGTAAGTGTAGGGGATACCAGGAAATACACACATTACAGCTATGTAACGGTACGGGACACCAGTAAATACACACATTACAGCTGTGTAACGGTAGGGGACACCAGTAAATACACACATTACAGCTATGTAATGGTAGGGGACACATTCTTTGGGGTTACGGTATGGGACGAGGGGTGACGAATGACTACCGATGAATGTTATGTGGAAAAATACGACAAAATGCGTATACGGATTGATAATTTTCAGTTCATCCAAATCAAATATTGTTTACACAATACGATACTCAAACATAGACGTGTGATTATGCTCTGGTCAGATAATGTATTCATGTTTCAGTGTGGCCGGACAGTGACACAAAGTACACAGTAGCACGTGAAGGGAACAACGTCACGCTCTCGTGGTACATGCCTCTGTTCGGGCGCAGTGTTTCTGTTAAGAGCCCGGATTATATAAACTTGTTTTCTATGGAGCTGACTAATATCTTTGTAACAAAGACGTACTATCCACGGTTGAAGATTCTGGGTGTCGTCACCTTGCCTGCTGCTGTCGTTGTGAGGTTGAAACTCAACAACGTTACTGTCGCTGATGCTGGCGTATACGTCTGTGAACAAACTAGAACTCCGCGGTGGAAACACACCCTGTTTGTGTCAAGTACGTACCGTACGAAGTGTAATCTGTCGTTATATATTGCGTACATCAGATTGGCATAGTTTATCAAGTAATCATTCATTACATATTGCATACAGCATGTTAATGCAACAATGGGCAGGTAAGTCTCGCGAGGCGCTACTTCCGGATTCAGCTGTCCCGTGACAAGCGTATATTCAAGAACCAGTTCTGGTTCCAAATTGCGCGACCGCCAAATATGAATTTACTAGACCGGACCAAGTGTACAACCATTGCTGTTATAACTGTTGACAGTCGTCATAGTTGACTTATTTGAGGATGCTTAAATAGGATTTTGGATTATCGGTTCCTTACTGTCAACTGACAACCATGAGACCATTTGAGAAGGTATGAAACGTTGTTCGTCACCGGAAGTACCTGTTTATGTGTCCTATAAGGTAATCATTCAAGACGTTTCAAACACATTAGCTTATTATCACACAAGAAATGTTGCATTGGTCATAAGTTTGGAGAGGAATGTGAAAATATAGGGCTCCCATACAATACAACTTCTTTGATTGGCATTCTAGAAGTTGGGTAGATAAAGGATGAGGACTATTTTTATGGATATACAACTTCTTTATTCTGTATAGGCGACGTTTCGACATAGATTCTAATGTCGTTGTTAATCACTTGCTTGACATTAGAATCTATGTCGAAACGTCGCCTATACAGAAAAAAGAAGTTGTATATCCATAAAAATAGTCCTCATCCTCCCATACAATACGTTGAGAACTTTGAGGAACGGTTGTATGAAATATTCGGACAAAGACTTGGGAACTCCGAGGCAATGACTGTTTGAATAGTCGTCTATATAACGGGAACCGGCCAAGAACTGGAGGAAAGGCATTCTTCTTGTGGTGCCAATACCCTTCATCCACTTGTTTACATATTACGGTATCTGCATCCGGCATTCAGAAACCTTCCTCTTCATTTCTATTACATAATGTGTTATAGAATTAGTCCAAAAATCTAGTGTATATTCACACCACTGGTTATTGCTGATCATTTTCACAGGAACACCAACGACTCCTATAATGGCTTACTCCGAGTTTCAACAGATGACGCTCCTGACATGCTTGTCGAGATCACGGACACTTCCTGAAGATTATCCTACGAGACTGTCCTACAGATGGCGTACAGAAGGTCCTGGTCGTGAGGGCCAGGTGAAGGAAGGGCCTTCTTTACTAATCAGTAAGGAGGATACTGGCACCACACACTTGTGTCAAACTGACGAAGATGGTGCGGTAACGACCTGGACCTCTGACCGACCTCTGTGTATGTACTTATCTTCTTTACGATTGGACTTGTAAATATCCTGGTTAGAATTGGTCTTTAGCAACACATGCCTATCGTAGGAGGAGACTAACGGGATCGGGTGGTCAGGCTCGCTGACTTGGTTGACAAATGTTATCGTATCCCAGTTGCGTAGGTCGATGCTCATACCGTTGATCACTGGACTGTCTCGTCCAATCACGATTATTTATATAGCTTGGCTATTGATGCGAGGGGCGTTAACAATAAAAACTTTATCATTACAGGCAAAATTATGTATTAATTAATGAACTATTGTGCATAAGCTCATAGATGCAATAGATATTGCTGGTCTTGTGATTGTCAGATACTATAATTAACCTCTAGAGTTTGTTTAAAAATGTTTCTTATCAGCGAAAAGGAGTAAGGTACGTTTGAAACAAGGAGTTGTGACTAAATGGTGTTTTACAGACACAAGTGTAGTAATCGGATTCTCACACCTTAAAATCACCACGTCAATCGCACACCATTTTCGAACCGAAAGGGCATATAAGTCGTCTGTTGACCTGACTGCAATGGCACATTAAGACAGAACGGTCACTTTAATCTGCAGTCTGACTACTGCTCACTTCTCGCACCGATTGTGATCCTCCGCACACACTTTCTCGTCATGTTTGTGAAATATCAAGGAGCAGGTGATGAAGTAAATCTGTGATCATTTCTGAAAATGACTAATTTGTCAGTACATTACCTAATTTATCTGTACATTACCATCAGGAAACGTAGTCTTTCATAATCTGGCCTTAGGTCATCACCATTGGTCGGCCAATTCTAACTGACACGTGTTGGTAATAGTAATATCACATCACTTTCACACCCAGGCGTTTTTAGAAGGGAAACGACAATCTTTGACATCAGTATGTCTGTATGTAATTCTATCGCTCGGTCAGTGTATGTGTAGGGGCAGTGGGGTAGCCTAGTGGTTAAAGCGTTCGCTCGTCACGCCAAAGACCCGAATGCGTACAATCGATTCCCCACATGGGTACAATGTGTGAAGCCCATGTCTGGTGTCCCCCGCGGTGATATTAGAATATTTCTAAAAGTCGTGTAAAGCTTAACTCACTCACTCAATCAGTGTATGTGTATATAGGTATATTGCTTCCACAAACAGTGTGTAGGTAATCATGATCAGGTTACGGTGTATACGTGTACGATAAAAACAGTGTTATATTATATACTTAGTATCCATGTGTATATGCATGACGCATACAGATGCATATGTACACATCGCGCAAATGTACAATGTATAAACACTTAGTAAGGGCGCGCATTGTACATGTACAAAGTTTAATAAGGCATTTAAGTAGAATTGCGTATAACAGATACGGTTATAAAGGGTGAGTGAATATGTTTTATGCCGCTTTTGGGGAGACCAGGAATTTTGCTTAACACAGTATACCCAGGAACCCGTGTCTTCCGCATGATGAGTGACCACTCTGATCACAAGGCTAACCTAATGCGAACTACAGTTAGCGGTTAGTAATTGGTTCGATATAGCCTAATGGTTACAGTACACACGTACAGGTCCGTCTCCTATTCTCGCGGGTTTCCTGTTCTCGCGGATCGTATTGTTTATCACCGGGCTAACGAGTGGTAATTCACCTGATGGATCCAGCAGCTGATAGATGTAGATGTAAGAGAAGAAGGCCCTTCATTTAAAAACAACAAGCAGTCATACGATAAGAATTGTTCGTGTTATTTTTTCAGCAGATATCCGTAAGTACCGCTAGAATAGGAAACGCCTTCCTATAACACGTATATCAAAGTATCTTTGTGTATGCAATGCAAACAATCCGGTGACCATTATCCTTTTAGATGAACTCTTCATCACTGACCTGACCGTGAATGACCAGGAAACTGTGGTGATGGACGACAACGGGACGCTCAGATTCACGTGCAGGGTCACAGGCTACCCCCGAGCTACAGTCTCCTACATCGTGAACCACGACAATGGAGAAACACATGCTCTGTCTGATTGGCGTCACGACGTCACCATCAGCAGCATCAACTCCTCCTATCATGGACAATACACGTGTGCAGCATCCAACATGATGGGAGTCACCCATGGAGATGACCATCCTGTATTTGTTAAAGTCAAATGTAAGGATTCCTGCAATGAATTAGATTTAGAAATTCCGAGGGTGGCTGGCTTAATATATTTGATATCACAGGTGCGAGAGTGAGATTCATTTCTCTAAACATTTTTGTATGATATAATTAATATCGCTAAAGAGATTCAGGAGCCAAGATTAGTGATGTCATTATACACTGACGTGTCGTGTTTGTTATTTAACGCCACACTCAGCAGTATTCCAGCTATATGGCGGCGGCTTGTAATAATTGTGTCGGGATCAGACAATCCAGTGATCAACAGCAAGATCATCGATCAACGCAAATTGGATGCTAACATGGGTTGCTGAAGGTAACCGATGGCGACACAATGGAATGCAAAGCATTTTGATGAATTTCATTGTAGCACTACATTCACGGAATATCTCCTGTGTGTTTGATATATTCATGTTTGATAAATAGACTTAAAGTGTACCGTGTAGAGTGAGTGAATTGGACTTGGCACTATTTTGAACAAAAACTCCAATATATAATTGGCCTGTACGTGATGTCTATCAGTTTATAGACAGAGTCTGTACTTCATACGTCAATATTTCAGCGAGTCCAGTAAGAATGGACTCCGACACAGATTCCCTAACAGTGCGTTACAACAAACACGACATGACTGGGACGTTTGTCATCCGGGCTTACCCAGAACCAAAGTTTGACAAGATGTACTTCTCAAGGAATGAAAACACGATTGTGGACATTTCAAATCGACAAAGACCTAAACTCTCCGTGGTCCCTGTTAAAGACAACTTGTTCAGGTTCACGTTCACAATCACCAGAGTGCTGAAGGCTGAACTGGGAACATACAAAGTTTCCATTGGCAACGAGATGGGGTCAGTTGATGTCTTCATCCGGCTGCTGGATGGAGGTAAGTGACCCTGGTAGTGATTCTGGATACTTCTGTATCTTGTTCAGTGTAAATAATAATAACTGTACATTTGATAACGAGACGTCTGCGATCATGAACGTTATTCCACCTGCACATAGGCAATATCTCAGTTTCTTTGATAACGAGACGTCTGCGATCATGAACGTTATTCCACCTGCAAATAGGCAATATCTCAGTTTCTTTGATAACGAGACGTCTGCGAACATGAACGTTATTCCTCCTGCACATAGGCAATATCTCAGTTTCTTTGATAACGAGACGTCTGCGAACGTGAACGTTATTCCACCTGCAAATAGGCAATATCTCAGTTTCTTTGATAACGAGACGTCTGCGAACATGAACGTTATTCCACCTGCAAATAGGCAATATCTCAGTTTCACACACGCCACTAATATTGGTAGACTGAAACATAGCCAGGTAGAGAGGTTTTCCAAGGTCAGATGCAAGTTTACTTGTGTGAACTTATTCATTATTTTCCATGAGCCATATACCATCAGTTTCTGCCATTAAACCATCATTATGTATTTCATCATGTCAGATTCATTACTACTGCAAATGTTCCAAGATTCCTGTTTTTCTTTGAAAGACACGGGAGCGACAAAGAGGAATCTGTACGTCATCATGAGCCCTCTGTTGATCGTACTTGCCGCGATAGTGCTGCTTTCAGTCTTCTTGTTGCCTCGGAGACGACAAAAGAGTAAGTAGCATAACCTACTAGCATATATACTAGTATAGTAAACCCGGAAATAACGTTTAATGGTATTAGATAGATTGCTCTGGTATGAACTTCGTTTTACCGATAAATGGCGTGTATGACTTCGGGGTCACGCCATTTTGGGGGGTGTGACTACATCTCGTCTGTATTGGCTTGAAAAAGGTCTAGCATTAAGGAAGGTGACACATGTCATTTTCACTGATCAAGCCAAGTTCTTCAATCAAGAAAAACACGTGGCCAGAGACGATATAATTCCAGCAGGAGAGAAAGCTATAGCATCGTTGTATGTCGGTGTCAAGGAGGAAACGCTTGATTCTCTAAGATACATTCGTTTCGGTGACAAAGTATCCAAGCGTGCTTCTCCTGTGGAACCACAAACTCTATCGCCGACACCAGCAGCTGCGGGTTACCACAGTCACCGTGTGTACTATCAGGTGATGGCATAGAAGGGAAAACATCTCAGCCTGGACCTGGAGAACTGGGGTTGGCATGGATGGAAGGTGTATGTCAATACAAACCGATCAGCCAGCAGCACTACCAGAACTACTGGATGTGATTAGCTGCAGTTGCAAGAATGGGATCTATGTGCAGGAAGTAGGGTCTGCATTGCACCACCATGCGCAGAAATGCCAAGTTGGCTGATTTATCGGAAGACGATGAAAATGACGTTTAACCTGTGACATAGACGTTTCAACCAGAACTATTCATTTCAATATAAATTGTTTGTTACAGAAGATATTCTCACCTGTTTTTAAGGATCTCTATCCTATTGTACATGTAAACCACACTGTGGGTGTATATCAATAAACTAATATTCGGACGTATTCTGTTTGTGTATTTTAAGGTTGGGAAATGCAATTTCACAAAATGTAGCCTAAGGAGAATACTTTTGGCCTAATTTCGTAACAACCTGAAGTCCATATTTTGTATTTTGAAATAAACTTGACAGCAGTTCTTTTAGAATATACCCTAGGACCATGGTATAGTCTAAATACACTGTTTGCGATTCTTATATGACGTACGTTTCATGCTTTAATGCCATAAATGTGGAAACCGGGCTTCCCCGAAAAGAATTTCTAAACCCTTCCGGATTTTGTACAACCTATAGCAGTATTTAACCCAAATTGAATGTTCATGTTTATGTCATGACCATACAGCAAAGCTACCTTTATTTCGCATGAAAGATACCAATACCTGGAATAATATGCATGAATAGAAATATAATGTTAGCTAATAATATCGGTGAAAGTATTCATCATAAAATATAGGACACCACTATAAGATGTGTATGCATGACGTATAGTTCACATTTCGTCTTGTCACGTAATTCTGTTACATTTTCAGAACCGAGAGTATCAAGGTAAGGAGTTAACCTTACAACATATATATACAAGAGGTTGTGAAAGAAAACAAAGCCGCTTTTAATAGAGTAATAATCTTTTTTGGCCTGTGACCATTTAGGGCGGTGTTTAATAGAAACTTAAGGGTCGATGGCGTAGCTTAGTCGTAAAAGCGTTAGGTCGTCACAAGAAAATTCAGGGTTCGAATACCGACATGGGTACAGTATGAGAAGCCCTGGGCCCTGTTCCTCACAACGATCGTATCGCAAAGATGATCGTAACTCCCATACATTAACATAGACTTACGACTGTCGGACGGGGCCCTGGTCTCCCTGGTATGATGTTGCTGGAATAGTGTAGAACGATGTAAAGCATTACACTCACTCGCTATTATAAGTACTTAAACCTAACAGATTCTATTTAGTATTAATTAATATAATTTTCTACTCCTCTGTTGGTAACGTCAAATTGTCAAATGTTCATAGGTTTAATTCACCTTCAAAACGTTTGCCGACATTACTTTTTTCAGCATTCCCCCTGTGACAGATGAATGCATGGGCGGTATTGGATTGCAAACATTCTCTCCCAGCGACAGCCGCGATGTTGAAGCCATCACTGATGATGACGGTGTTCAGCACGATACCGCTGTTGGTCACCAGGGACCAAACTAAGATGTGTCAACACATAATAACGTGGAAGACATCCCCCTTGGTGATGTTGCGTCTTCACCCGGACACCTGGATGTAGAACTGTAATAACTGTGATGTTGGGTGGCTTATGTACCAATCTTCAGACATTTCAGATATTCCCATCCAGTAATATCATTTAGCACAGGCTATTGAAAGGGTCCTTTTGGCGAAATATATAATTATATATATATATGTAAATATAATTATCATTATATACATATGTGTGTGTGTGTGTGTGCGTGTGTGCGTGCGTGCGTGCGTGCATTTTTGTGTTAAGAAGGCTGATTTTAGAGATTATCAGAAACGTTTCCAAAATTTAGTCTTCCAACTAAGCTGATTTTCTTTGGACACATCGATACAACCAGTACAAACAGTTTCAGAAAATTATGCCGCGTTAACAACTCATACGTGTTCCTGGGAAAGTGCAAAAAGTGTCGTTTTAAATCTGATTTTGACACATTTGTCTATTGGCTCATATCAGAAGCCCAAAGAGAAATATGCATGGCAGGGTGTCTGAAGTTTAAACAAACTGACTGACTGACTGACTGAGTATGGTTTTACGCCGATTTTAGCAATATTCCAGCAACATCACGGCGGGGAACTCCAGAAATGGGCTTCACAAATTGTACCCATGCGGGGATTCGAACCCGGGTCTTCGGCGTGACGAGCCAACGCTTTAACCACTAGGCTACCCCACCGCCCTCCCTGAAGTTTAAACATGTATGATATTTAGCGTACTATTGATTATCAGAAAATAAAAACCCATTGGGCCTTTTTTCACCCCCTCCTCTGTATTGAACCGTAAGTCATGTTACTTACGGTATAGAAGTGTCGGGCATAATGGACTTTTGACACGAGTTCTGTTACAATACCTACTGAATTAGTCATAAAATCGCGGTTTAATTACATAATGGCACTCCCAAACGATAATGGAATACAATAGCTATCGTACAACTGGTGTATGTTGTTCCATCTGCCCCATCAAGTGTATTTCAATAGGAACAATGCATATGCGTGTAATGATAGGAGACACTTCTCATCACCAGGTCTCGTTATCGCAGGAATATTTCCTCACCACTCATATCCATAACGATGAATTAATAATACAGTGGTGGTCCATTGTGGTATATGCGATGATGAGATGGAAGGTTTGAGTTGTATAGAAGTGGTTTAGTGGTGCTGATAAAGAAGTCTAGCTGTGATATATGCGATGATGAGAGGAAAGGCTTGAGTTGTATAGAAGTGGTTTAGTGGTGCTGATAAAGAAGGCTAGGTGTGGTATATGAGATAATGAGAGGAAAGGTCTGAGTGGTATTGAGGTGGTTTAGTGGTGCTGATGAAGAAGTCTAGGTGTGGTATATGAGATGATGAGTGAGAGGAAACTTTTAAGTGGTATTGAGGTGGTTTAGTGGTGCTGATAAAGAAGTCTAGTTGTGATATATGAGATAATGAGAGGAAAGGTTTGAGTGGTATTGAGGTGGTTTAGTGGTGCTGATAAAGAAGTCTAGGTGTGGTAGATGAGATAATGAGAGGAAAGGTTTGAGTGGTATGTGGTGGTTTAGTGGTGCTGATAGAGAAGGTCAGGTGTGGTGTATGAGATGATGAGAGGAAAGGTTTGAGTTGTATAGAAGTGGTTTAGTGGCGGTGATAAAGAAGGCTAGGTGTGATATATGAGATGATGAGAGGAAAGGTTTGAGGTGGTTTAGTGGCGGTGATAAAGAAGGCTAGGTGTGATATATCAGATGATGAGATGGAAAGGTTTGAGTGGTATTGAGGTGGTTTAGTGGCGGTGATAAAGAAGGCTAGGTGTAATATATGAGATGATGAGATGGAAAGGTTTGAATGGTATTGAGGTGGTTTAGTGGCGATGATAAGGAAGGCTAGGTGTGATATATGAGATGATGAGAGGAAAGGTTTGAGTGGTATTGAGGTGGTTCAGTGGCGGTGATAAACAAGGCTAGGTGTGATATATGAGATGATGAGATGGAAAGGTTTGAGTGGTATTGAGGTGGTTTAGTGGCGATGATAAAGAAGGCTAGGTGTGATATATGAGATAATGAGCGGAAAGGTTTGAACGGTATTGAGGTGGTTTAGTGGCGGTGATAAAGAAGTCTAGGTGAGGTATATGAGATGATGAGATGGAAAGGTTTGAGTGGTATTGAGGTGGTTTAGTGGCGGTGATAAAGAAGGCTAGGTGTAATATATGAGATGATGAGATGGAAAGGTTTGAATGGTATTGAGGTGGTTTAGTGGCGATGATAAAGAAGGCTAGGTGTGATATATGACATGATGAGATGGAAAGGCTTGAATGGTATTGAGGGGGTTGAGTGGCGATGATAAAGAAGGCTAGGTGTAATATATAAGATGATGAGATGGAAAGGTTTGAATGGTATTGAGGTGGTTTAGTGGCGATGATAAAGAAGGCTAGGTGTGATATATGAGATGATGAGAGGAAAGGTTTGAATGGTATTGAGGTGGTTTAGTGGCGATGATAAAGAAGGCTAGGTGTGATATATGAGATGATGAGAGGATAGGTTTGAGTGGTATTGAGGTGGTTTAGTGGGGGTGATAAAGAAGGCTAGGTGTGATATATGAGATGATGAGATGGAAAGGTTTGAATGGTATTGAGGTGGTTTAGTGGCGATGATAAAGAAGGCTAGGGGTGATATATGAGATGATGAGAGGAAAGGTTTGAATGGTATTGAGGTGGTTTAGTGGCGGTGATAAAGAAGTCAAGGTGTGATATATGAGATGATGAGAGGAAAGGTTTGAGTGGTATTGAGGTGGTTCAGTGGCGGTGATAAAGAAGGCTAGGTGTGATATATGAGATGATGAGATGGAAAGGTTTGAGTGGTATAGAGGTGGTTTAGTGGCGATGATAAAGAAGGCTAGGTGTGATATATGAGATAATGAGCGGAAAGGTTTGAACGGTATTGAGGTGGTTTAGTGGCGGTGATAAAGAAGTCTAGGTGTGGTATATGAGTTGATGAGATGGAAAAAGGTTTGGAGTGGTATTGAGGTGGTTTAGTGGCGGTGATAAAGAAGGCTAGGTGTAATATATGAGATGATGAGATGGAAAGGTTTGAATGGTATTGAGGTGGTTTAGTGGCGGTGATAAAGAAGGCTAGGTGTGATATATGAGATAATGAGAGGAAAGGTTTGAGTGGTATTGAGGTGGTTCAGTGGCGGTGATAAAAAAGGCTAGGTGTGATATATGAGATGATGAGAGGAAAGGTTTGAGTGGTATTGAGGTGGTTCAGTGGCGGTGATAAAGAAGGCTAGGTGTGATATATGAGATGATGAGAGGAAAGGTTTGAGTGGTATTGAGATGGTTCAGTGGCGGTGATAAAGAAGGCTAGGTGTGATATATGAGATAATGAGAGGAAAGGTTTGAGTGATATTGAGGTGGTTTAGTTGCGGTGATAAAGAAGGCTAGGGGTGATATATGAGATAATGAGATGGAAAGGTTTGAATGGTATTGAGGTGGTTCAGTGGCGGTGATAAAGAAGGCTAGGTGTGATATATGAGATGATGAGAGGAAAGGTTTGAGTGGTATTGAGGTGGTTCAGTGGCGGTGATAAACAAGGCTAGGTTTGATATATGAGATAATGAGAGAGGTTTGAGTGGTATTGAGGTGGTTTTTGAGTAGCAGGTGATAAAGAAGTCAAAGTGTGATAAGAGATGATAAGAGATCAAAAGGTTTAGATAGGTATTAAGATGAGATAATGAGATGGAAATCAAAATTTAAATGAATGATATAGTAATGAAAGGTTTAGGTGAGTATTAAAGAAGTTAAGTGGCAGATGTCATGGGAGTGTGGTATAGAGATAATGAAGGAAAAGGTTTAGGGTATTAGGGTGGATTAAGTGGCAGTGATAAAGAAAGGCTAGGTGTGATATATGAGAGATAAGAGGAAAAGGTTTGAGAGTGAGTATTGAGGAGTGGTTTTGAGTAGGAAGAAAGGATTTATATAGGAATGAAGAATGAGAGGAAAGGTTTGAGTAATTGAGAGTGTGGCGATGATAGAAGGCAAGGTGTGATGCATGAGATAAGAGGAAAGAAGAATAGAGTGGTAGTATGAGGTGGTTTAAGTGGCAGTGATAAAAGAAGGCTAGGTGTGATATAACATAATAAAGAGATAATTTAGAGAGGAAAGTGGTTTAAGTGGCAGTGATGAAAGAGTCAAGGAGTGTGATGAGATGATAAGAAGGAAAGGTTTAGAGTGAGTATTGAGGTAGGTTTAGTGGCGGTGATAAAGAAGTCTAGGTGTGATATATGAGATGATGAGAGGAAAAGGTTTGAGGTTGTATGGTTTTGATGAGAAAAGAAACAAGGTGTGATATAGGATAATGAGACAAAGGTTTTAGTGGTATGGAGGGAGGTTTAGTAGCGGTGATAAAGAAGTCTAGGTTTGATATATGAGATAATAGAGAGGAAAGGTTTGAGTGGTGATGAAGAAGGCAAGGTGTGAGATATGAGGATAATGAGAGGAAAGTTTTGAATTGAGAGGTGGTTTAGTAGCGATGATAAAGAAAGTCTAGGTTTGATGATGAGATGTGAGAGAAAGGTGGTTGAGTGGTGATAGAAGAAGGGAAGGATATATGAGAGATAATGAGAGGAAAAGGTTTGAATGGTATTGAAGGGTGGTTTTAGGAAAGATGATAAAGTTTGAAGTGGATGGAAGGAAAGGTGGAGTGGTGGAAGAGATAATGGAGAGAAAGAAATCTAGGTTTGATATATGAGAGAAGTGGATTGAGTGGCGGAAGGTGTGACATATGAGATAATGAGAGGAAAGGTTTGAGTGGTATTGAGGTGGTTTAGTGGAGGATGATAAAGAAGAGGATAGGTGTGATATATGAGAGGAATAGGAGAAGGTTTGAGTATGATGAAGAGAGCTAAGGAGTGATGATCAGAGATAATGAGAGAAAAAGAGTTTGGTGGTATTAAGAGTGGTTTAGTAGCAGTGATAAAAAGTCAAGGTGTGATATATGAGATGATGAGAGGAAAAGATGGAAGGTGGAAGGAGTAGAAGGTAAAGGAAGTGTGATATAAGAGATGATGAGATGGAAAAGGTTTGAGTGGTACACAAAGGTGGTTTAAGGCAATGTCAAAGAACTAGACATGAGACAAACTAAGAAGAAAAGTTTAAGTGAGTATTAAGTGGTTTAAATGGCAGTGTCAAAGAAGTCAGTGTGGTATATAAGGACAAGAAAGAAGTTTGAAGTAAGTATTGAGGAGTGGTTTTAGTATGCAGTGAGAAAGAAGCTAGGTTAATATACGAATGATAAGAAGGACAAGGTTTAGAGTGGAATTATAGGTGGAGACAAAAGTGGAGGTGATGGAGAGACAGAGATAATAAGGAACAAAGGTTTAGATGGTATTGAGGTGGTTCAGTGGCAGTGATCAAAAGAAGGCTAGGTGTGATATAAGAATGAGGAGGAAAAGTTTGAAGTGGTATTAAAGGGTGGTTCAGTGGCAGTGATAAAGAAGGCTAGGTGTGATATATAGAGATGATGAGATGGAAAAGGTTTGAGTGAGTATTGAGAAAGTTCAGGAAAGGATATGGCTAGGTGTGAATGAATAATAGGAAAGGAAAGAGTGAATGAAGAAAGTTTT